CGCACTTTTTGATTGGTCCAGCGGATGCTGAGCTAAACTCAGATAAATTTTTTAAAAAATTTTGAAAAATTAAATTTGCGAGATAATTAATCAGGAATACCGCCAAAGTCTTAACCCGGGAGTCTCGAACAAAAAATGTATTGCGCACTTATTGATTGGTCCAGCGGATGCTGAGCTACACTCAGATAAATTTTTTAAAAAATTTCGAAAAATTAAATTTGGGAGATAATTGATCAAGAATACCGCCAAAGTCTTAACCCGGGAGTCTCGAACAAAAAATGTATGGCGCACTTTTTATTGGTCCAGCGGATGCTGAGCTAAACTCAGATAAATTTTTTAAAAAATTTTGAAAAATTAAATTTGCGTGATAATTAATCGGGAATACCGCCAAAGTCTTAACCCGGGAGTCTCGAACAAAAAATGTATAGCGCACTTTTTGATTGGTCCAGCGGATGCTGAGCTGCACTCAAAAATAATTTTGAAAAATTTACAAAAAATTAAATTCCCTAGATAATCGTTCGGGAATACTGCCATTGTGATTAGAAGAAAGTTCTGAACAAAAAATGTATGGCGCAGTTTTTGATTGGTCCAGCGGATGCTGAGCTACACTCACTATAACTGGGGAAAAATTTTCGAAAACAAAAATTTGCCAGATAATGACTCGGGAATAATGCCAAAAAATTGAGCAAAAAGTCTCGAACAAAAAATGTGTGGCGCACTTTTTGATTGGTCCAGCTGATGCTGAGCTACATTTAGATAAATTTTTTAAAAAATTTCGGTAAAATAAATTTGCGAGATAATTGATCGGGAATACCGCTAAAGTCTTAACCCGGGAGTCTCGAACAAAAAATGTATGGCGCACTTTTTGATTGGTCCAGCGGATGCTGAGCTAAACTCAGATAAATTTTTTAAAAAATTTTGAAAATTTAAATTTGCGAGATAATTAATCGGGAATACCGCCAAAGTCTTAACCCGGGAGTCTCGAACAAAAAATGTATGGCGCACTTTTTGATTGGTCCAGCGGATGCTGAGTTACACTCAAAAATAATTTGGAAAAATTTTCCAAAAATTAAATTCGCTAGATAATCGTTCGGGAATACCGCCATAGTGATTAGAAGAAAGTTCTGAACAAAAAATGTATAGCGCACTTTTTGATTGGTCCAGCGGATGCTGAGCTACACTCAGATAAATTTTTTAAAAAATTTTGAAAAATTAAATTTGCGAGATAATTAATCGGGAATACCGCCAAAGTCTTAACCCGTGAGTCTCGAACAAAAAATGTATGGCGCACTTTTTGATTGGTCCAGCGGATGCGGAGCTACAATCAGATAAATATTTTAAAAAATTTTAAAAAATTAAATTTGCGAGATAATTTGTCGGGAATACCGCCAAAGTCTTAACCCGGGAGTCTCGAACTAAAAATGTATAGCGCACTTTTTGATTGGTCCAGCGGATGCTGAGCTAAACTCAGATAAATTTTTTAAAAAATTTTGAAAAATTAAATTTGCCAGATAATTAATCGGGAATACCGCCAAAGTCTTAACCCGGGAGTCTCGAACAAAAAATGTATAGCGCACTTTTTGATTGGTCCAGCGGATGCTGAGCTGCACTCAAAAATAATTTTGAAAAATTTACAAAAAATTAAATTCCCTAGATAATCGTTCGGGAATACTGCCATAGTGATTAGATGAAAGTTCTGAACAAAAAATGTATTGCGCTCTTTTTTGATTGGTCCAGCGGATGCTGAGCTACACTCAGATAAATTATTTAAAAAATTTCGAAAAAATAAATTTGCGAGATAATTGATCGGGAATACCGCTAAAGTCTTAACCCGGGAGTCTCGAACAAAAAATGTATGGCGCACTTTTTGATTGGTCCAGCGGATGCTGAACTACACTCAAAAATAATTTGGAAATATTTTCAAAAAATTAAATTCGCGAGATAATCGTTCGGGAATACCACCAAAAAAATAGTCAAAAAGTTCTGAACCAAAAATGTATGGCGCACTTTTTGATTGGTCCAGCGGATGCTGGGCTACACTGAAAAATAGTTTGGAAAAATTTTCAAAAAATTAAATTCGCTAGATAATAGTTCGGGAATACCGCCATAGTGATTAGAAGATAGTTCTGAACCAAAAATGTATGGCGCACTTATTGATTGGTCCAGCGGATGCTGAGCTACACTCAGATAAATTTTTTAAAAAATTTCGAAAAATTAAATTTGGGAGATAATTGATCGGGAATACCGCCAAAGTCTTAACCCGGGAGCCTCGAACAAAAAATGTATGGCGCACTTTTTGATTGGTCCAGCGGATGCTGAGCTAAACTCAGATAAATTTTTTAAAAAATTTTGAAAAATTAAATTCGCTAGATAATAGTTCGGGAATACCGCCATAGTGATTAGAAGAAAGTTCTGAACAAAAAATGTATGGCGCACTTTTTGATTGGTCCAGCGGATGCTGAGCTACACTCAGATAAATTTTTTAAAAAATTTTGAAAAATTAAATTTGCGAGATAATTAATCGGGAATACCGCCAAAGTCTTAACCCGGGAGTCTCGAACAAAAAATGTGTGGCGCACTTTTTGATTGGTCCAGCGGATGCGGAGCTACAATCAGATAAATATTTTAAAAAATTTTAAAAAATTAAATTTGCGAGATAATTTGTCGGGAATACCGCCAAAGTCTTAACCCGGGAGTCTCGAACTTAAAAATGTATTGCGCACTTTTTGATTGGTCCAGCGGATGCTGAGCTAAACTCAGATAAATTTTTTAAAAAATTTTGAAAAATTAAATTTGCGAGATAATTAATCGGGAATACCGCCAAAGTCTTAACCCGGGAGTCTCGAACAAAAAATGTATAGCGCACTTTTTGATTGGTCCAGCGGATGCTGAGCTGCACTCAAAAATAATTTTGAAAAATTTACAAAAAATTAAATTCCCTAGATAATCGTTCGGGAATACTGCCATAGTGATTAGATGAAAGTTCTGAACAAAAAATGTATTGCGCTCTTTTTTGATTGGTCCAGCGGATGCTGAGCTACACTCAGATAAATTATTTAAAAAATTTCGAAAAAATAAATTTGCGAGATAATTGATCGGGAATACCGCTAAAGTCTTAACCCGGGAGTCTCGAACAAAAAATGTATGGCGCACTTTTTGATTGGTCCAGCGGATGCTGAACTACACTCAAAAATAATTTGGAAAAATTTTCAAAAAATTAAATTCGCGAGATAATCGTTCGGGAATACCACCAAAAAAATAGTCAAAAAGTTCTGAACCAAAAATGTATGGCGCACTTTTTGATTGGTCCAGCGGATGCTGGGCTACACTGAAAAATAGTTTGGAAAAATTTTCAAAAAATTAAATTCGCTAGATAATAGTTCGGGAATACCGCCATAGTGATTAGAAGAAAGTTCTGAACCAAAAATGTATGGCGCACTTATTGATTGGTCCAGCGGATGCTGAGCTACACTCAGATAAATTTTTTAAAAAATTTCGAAAAATTAAATTTGGGAGATAATTGATCTGGAATACCGCCAAAGTCTTAACCCGGGAGCCTCGAACAAAAAATGTATGGCGCACTTTTTGATTGGTCCAGCGGATGCTGAACTACACTCAAAAATAATTTGGAAAAATTTTCAAAAAATTAAATTCGCGAGATAATCGTTAGGGAATACCACCAAAAAAATAGTCAAAAAGTTCTGAACCAAAAATGTATGGCGCACTTTTTGATTGGTCCAGCGGATGCTGGGCTACACTCAAAAATAGTTTGGAAAAATTTTCAAAAAATTAAATTCGCGAGATAATCGTTAGGGAATACCACCAAAAAAATAGTCAAAAAGTTCTGAACAAAAAATGTATGGCGCACTCTTTGATTGGTCCAGCGGATGCTGGGCTACACTGAAAAATAATTTGGAAAAATTTTCAAAAAATTAAATTCGCTAGATAATAGTTCGGGAATACCGCCATAGTGATTAGAAGAAAGTTCTGAACCAAAAATGTATGGCGCACTTATTGATTGGTCCAGCGGATGCTGAGCTACACTCAAAAATATTTTGGAAAAATTTTCGAAAAATTAAATTCGCGAGATAATCGTTCGGGAATACCGCCAAAAGAAATTTTTGGAAAAAAGAGGATAAAAATTTTTTTTTTTGAGGTATTTTTAAAAATCCTTTGGTCAGATTTGAGATATTAATATGATAAATGAGCCTACTAAATTTTATCTAAATCCATTAAAACCTGTTAGAGTTATCTTCTAAACAAAAAAGGGATGCACACACACATACATACATACACACACACATACATCTGAACAATTGATCAGGATCTCATATAACATGTTTCTATAAAGAAAAAAATTTGTTTCCGCCACTTTGAAAAGTTTTATAAACGAAAGGACTACAAAGCTTCCTCCACGAGGAAGCAAAATGGAATAAAATTGATTATTCTGAGTCTACTGCAATTTAGGTTTAATTGGTAGGTTTTTTTAAAGGTATTTTAAAGGTACAAAAGGTAAAAAAATAATAGAGACATGCTGATTAATTTTTTTTGAATTGGTAGCTAGGTTTTTTTTAAGATTAAATAAAAATTCTTGGTGTTTTCGATTTTATATATAATAAAATATTAATTAGTTGACTAATTTAATTAATATTTTATTTGTGTTGGGTTACTAAAAATTTCACACACTTTTTCCAAAAAAAAAGTATTACCTGGAGCAGAGATTTTACTATTGCAGTGGAACTTATCTCTGTTACAGTTAAAGCTTTCTTTTCGTATACAATAAATTACAAAACTACCAGTACTCAGCCAGTACTGTACCAGTAATGGTTACCAATACTGGTGCCAATTCTGGCGGCCAATACTGGTAAAATGTTATCATCCCAAAGTTACGCCATAACTCTGGCGCCAATACTGGGTGCCAGTACTTCGCCATTAGTAAATTTTTGATTGAGATATGACAAAAAACTTTTTTTTATGTTCATAAAATAATGGATTGAAAATTTTATATTTGCTTTTTTATTTATTTAATACATATAGTTTAACATTTCAAAACAAAAGTTTGTTAAAAGAAAATATTGGAAAAATGAAAATATATATTTATTCTCTTCATTTACAACAGAAACCTAAAGTCCGTGAATGTTCTTGACATATCTTTGAGAATATGATCCTCTACATCATCCAGAACACGATGCTCTTCTTTGTCAATCTTTTTCTTTAAATCTCCTTAAATTAAAAAGAAATTTTATTGAAAATGGATTAATATTTTTCAATGTTTGCTAAAATTCAAAAAGATTAATTAAAATTATATTAAAAGTTACCTGATAATTTTCTACCGTTTTTGTCGAAAATTTCGTTCAATGTTTTTTCTGTTTCTTTTTTACCATTGCTATCATTTTTTATTGTTTTTGATGTCTCTCCTGTTGCAGAAGTGGTGTTTATGTTGGAAATAGATGTTACTGCATTGTCAGTAGTTGTCGAATTTGAATTATCTTTTGTAGATGTAACCCTATTAGAAGTTTGTGTCAGTGTTACTGTACAAGTAGTTTTTGTTGCAGAATGTTTTATTGTTGGTATATTTGTTGTGATTGTTGCGCTAGCAATACCTTCTGTAGTCATGTAAGTAGAAGTCGCTGGTCCATCTGTTGTAGTCTCAGAAGTTGCCGAATTAAAATCTGCCTTTGTTGAAGAAGTAACAAATCTAGTAGAGCTTGGTATCTCTCTTGTTGTACCAGCAGATTTTGTTGCAGATGCCTTAGTCGTCCGTTTATTTGTAGTCAGTGTTGCACTTCCACTAATCTTTCCAGTTGTTTTGTAAGAAGATGTTATTGCACGGCTCGTTGTAGCTTTAGAGGTTGTGTGATTTGAATCCCTCTTTGTAGAAGATTCATCAGTTTTAGTAGTACTTGGTTTCTTAGCTACCGTACCAGCAGTTTTTGTTGTAGATGCACTGATTTTTGTTGTTTTGTGAGAAGATGTTGTACGGTTTGTTGTATCCTTAGAGGCTACTGTACCAGCAGTTGTTGTTGCATATGATTTTGTCGTTGGTTTATTAGATATCTTAGTTGCAATTTCACTGATTTTGGTTGTTTTGTGTGAAAATGTTAGGAGCGTTGTAGCTCTAGGGGTTGTGTGATTTGACTCTTTCTTTGTAGATGATTCATCAATTTTAGTAGAGATAGATTTCTCTGTTACTGTACCAGCAGCTTTTGTTGCAGATTCACTGCTTTTGGTTGTTTTATGAGAAGATGTTCGGATTGTTGTAGCTCTAGGGGTTGTGTGATTTGACTCTTTCTTTGTAGCTGATTTATCAATTTTTGTAGTACTTGGTTTCTTTGATGTACCAGCAGATTTTGTTGCAGATGTTTTTGTCGTCTGTTTATTTGTTTCCTTTGTTCCACTTCCACTACTTTTTGTGGTTTTGTGAGAAGAAGTTACTGCACGGTTTGTTGTAGCCTTAGAAATTGTCTCATTAGAATGCTTCTTTGTAGTTGATTCATCAATTTTAGTAGAGCTTGGTTTCTTTGTTACTGTACCAGCAGATTTTGTTGCAGATTTTTTTGTCGTCTGTTTATTTGTTTCCTTTGTTCCACTTCCACTACTTTTTGTGGTTTTGTAAGAAGAAGTTACTGCACGGTTTGTTATAGCCTTAGAAATTGTCTCATTAGACTCCTTCTTTGTAGATGATTCATCAATTTTAGTAGAGATAGATTTCTCTGTTACTGTACCAGCAGCTTTTGTTGCAGATTCACTGCTTTTGGTTGTTTTATGAGAAGATGTTCGGATTGTTGTAGCTCTAGGGGTTGTGTGATTTGACTCTTTCTTTGTAGATGATTCATCAATTTTCGTAGTACTTGCTTTCTTTGTTACTGTACCAGCAGATTTTGTAGTAGATGCTTTTGTTATTTGCTTATTTGTTGCCTTCGTTGTACTTTCATTGCTTTTTGTAGTTTTGTGAGAAGAAGTTACTGCACGGTTTGTTGTAGCCTTAGAAATTGTCTCATTAGAATGCTTCTTTGTAGCTGATTCATCAATTTTTGTAGTGCTTGATCTTTTTGTTACTTCACCAGCAATTGTTGTTGCATATGATTTTGTCGATGGTTTATTAGATATCTTAGTTGCAGTTTCACTGATTTTGGTTGTTTTGTGAGAAGATGTTTGATTCGTTGAAGCTCTAGAGGTTGTGTGATTAGACTCCTTCTTTATAGATGATTCATCAATTTTCGTAGTGCTTGATTTCTTTGTTACTGTACCAGCAGATTTTGTTGCAGATGCTTTTGTTGTCTGCTTATTTGTTTCCTTTGTTCCACTTCCACTACTTTTTGTGGTTTTGTGAGAAGAAGTTACTGCACGGTTTGTTGTAGTTCTATAAATTGTCTCATTGGAATTCTTTTTTGTAGACGATCCTAAAATTTTAGTAGAGCTTGATTTCTCTGTTACTGTATCAGCAGCTTTTGTTGCAGATGCTTTGGACGTTTTATGTTTTTTTGTAATTATTTCATTTCCACTTCTTTCTGTAGAAGTGTATTTTGGCGTTTCTGTAATCTTTGTTTCGGACCTTGTATCAGTTTCTGTAACTTGTGTTGCTGTTTTCGTAGGTTTTGAATTTTTCGTTTCTTTTATTGTAGTTGTCTGAGTAAATATTTCTGTTATTGTTGGTAGTGTTGTTTTAGTGATAGATTTTTTTGTTTGATTATTTTTATCTTCTACTTCGTCTACGTCTAAAAAAATTATTTAACTTTTAAAATCATTTAAATCTACATATAACGATAATTAAATACTATATATATACAGTACTCGCAATTATTTACATTTACAATAGCATGTTGTTGCTCTTTCCGTTGTCGGTGCAGCTTCGACTAAAATTAAAACAGAAAAAAAGGTTTTAAATTTTTCTAAGTAATTTTTTATTATTGTATGTCAATTGGTTGCTTACCAAATAAAATAATAGTTAACAATTGAATCAAAGGTAGAATCCTATATGTTATTAGACGCATGTTTTTTTTACACACAAAGTACAATTTACTTAAAAATAATTTGTCCCTTGTTTTTTATATATTAGTGTTGAAAATGCTCACAAAAATTTAAAAAAAAAAAAGCTTTAACTTCAACATAGAAAGAAAGTAAGAAGAAGAATGAAATTGTCTGTAAAATTGCATTTCATATTAAGGCAATTGTTTGAAAAAAATAATCTAAACTTTTTGTGAATATAATCATATCGATTCTTTTAAAGTAAATATTTCCAGTGTTATGCACAGTCGTCTTCGTTTTTGTTTTCTTTTGAATTTAATAATTTCTTTTAATTTTTTGTGAAAAAAAAACCAATATGAATAGAATAATTCTTTTTTAGTAAAAACGTTCATAACTTTTGTTATGGAAAGTATATATTTAAAAGAATTATTATTTGACGTAAAATGAAAAGTAATATTTTACAATAAACAAAAGTCCTTACAAAATTATTTAGTTATTTGTTTTTAAATCATTTTGAATGTAGGACAATGACAGCTACTTGTGTGGTGTATGATAATTTAAAAAAAAAATTAAATTCATACAAACAGTTATCATAGCAACACCCATATTAATTTTTTTATTACTAATCGTTTCCATAGCAACCGTTTCTATAGCAACCGGTACCACAGCATCCGTTTCCTTGACAACCGTTACCATGATCGTTTTTCTCCTTAGCAACGGTAATATTAATATTGGATCCAGTACTGATTTTAATTTTGGTTTCTTACTGGAAAACTGATACAGAATTTTGGTGTCGATTTGGTATTGGTCCTACTTAATTTCTATTGTTTATCCAGTACTTTTATTCAGTACTGGATTACGATATCGGTTTGGTATCGTTCCGACTATTGGTGTCAGAAAACCCTATACTTGGGAAGGTGTTTTTGAAAATTCTGAGGCACTACATTTAATAAAAATTACACGTAGATCTATGACGGAAAATGAATATTCAGAATGATTATATCTAAGGGACTCAATTCAAATTTAGTATCTTTTTCCATCATTTCTAAGTATGAATTTATTAATAATAATGAATATTATACTTCAGAAAGAATACTTCTAAGAATTCAAATATTCTAATCTACAATATTTGTATTAAGAACATCATAGGTATCACCTTTTTTTTGGTACAAATGAATTTATTTAATTTCAAAATTAATTTACAACTTTACTTATATATTTCTTTGCGATAAATAATTTTAAACCTAAAGTAATTATAGAAATTAAAAAAAATTAATTGCAAAAAAAAGGAAGTTTCATATTTGTAAAATTTAATCTACATTAGTTTAGCACTATTATATTACTAATTACTAATTCTGTGTATATGTTCTGCAGGAATAAAAGAGAATAAATAATATATACAAAATTGATTCAAACAAAAATTGTCATTTATTTATTTAAACGATTTATTTGTTTATTACATTTTGAAATTATAATTGATGAATATACATATAATAGTAATAAAGATAAAATTTAAATATATAGAAACTTGAAATCAACATCATTTATAATCAAGCGAGTAATGCATTAAGTCTACTTCTAATTCCTCCAGTTGCAGCGCCCAATTTAGCACTAATTCCACCACCAGTTCCCAAGCTTAAACCACTTCCATATCCTCCAGAGCTTGCGCCATTTAAATTAGCACCAATTCCTCCGCTAGTTCCTAAGCTTAAACCACTTCCATATTCTCCAGAGCTTGCGCCATTCAAATTAGCACCAATTCCTCCGCCAGCTCCTAAGCTCAAACCACTTCCATATCCACTAAGTCCAGCATCAATTCCTGCGTTTGCGCTATCCGAATCACCATCAATACCTCCATTACCTCCAAATTTAAATCCACCACCATATCTAGTATTTCCAATGTCTAAACCACCATCAATTCCAAGGCTTAAATCACCATCAAGAATCTGAAGCAAAATGATGAATAAAACTATATTAGCAATATTATTTAAAAAAAAAAAAAAAAAAACACTGAAATATTTCTTTATAACAATGAATAATAATATTATACACAATTTAGATAATATTAAGAATATAAAAATTTTAATTAAATCCTCACCGAATGAAGATCATTGCGTACAGTTTTAGCAGCGTTTTTGATCTAGAAAAAATAATTTAATAATATTAATAAATTATATACGATATTATATTATATTTGAAATAATAATTTTATTTAGATTACAATAATTTTAATTAAAATACAGATTTTTTTTTTGCTATATATATATATATTAAAATTGTTAATTTAAAAAATTGTTACAAATCTGACAGAAATTTTGATTTTTTTATTCATATTTTAGAAAACAAGACACAAAATGTTTTTTTTATGCAAATTAACTTTAGCGTAGCTTTATAGGAATATTTAATTTAAAAAATATATATATTGGATTTTTTATTTTTATTTAAAACTTACTTTATCAAGAAATCCTAGTCTATGATGTTTTGATTTAGATAATCCACTTAGACCTGAATTTGTAATCTAAAAAAAAAGGTACAATTCGTTTATTATAAAAACAAAAATGAAGAAAGAAATAAATAATAAGAACTATATAGAATATATTTGTATTTAGTTTCTACCTCTGATTCATCACTATCATTATTTTCTTCAGATGATGAACTAGAGCTGGACTAAAAAACGACAATTAAAAAAATTAAATAATACAAGAAATAATCGAAAAAAACAATATTTTAAAAATATTCTTAAATTTACTATATATAAATATTCAAATAAATAAAATAAAAACTTTAGTAAAATTAGTATACACTTAGAAAAAAATTCGTTTGAAGCAACCAAATTTTGGTTAAATCAACAAAATAAATTAAGTTAACCAAACATTTGGTTGCATAAACCAAACGTTTATTTAGCACAATCAAATTTTTTCTTTGTTCAAAAAATTTATTAAAATAAACCAAACAGTTATTATTAGATCAAATAAATATTTATTTGAATTAAAGAAATTTTTTTTTGAACTAACCCAAAAAAAAATTGGCTAAATATAAAAAAATGGTACATTTGGTTCAAACATATCTTTTTGTATTTAATTTTTACCTGTGATCCCTCATTACTTTCTTCAGATGATGAACTAGCGCTGGACTATAAAAAACGATAATTGGTTAAAAAAAATTAAATAATACAAGAAATAATCGGAAAAAAATAATATTTTAAAAATATTCTTAAATTTACTATATAAATATTCAAATAAATAAAATAAGAACTTTAGTAAAATTAGTATACACTTAGAAAAAAATTCGTTTGAAGCAACCAAATTTTGGTTAAATCAACAAAATAAATTAAGTTAACCAAACATTTGGTTGCATAAACCAAACGTTTATTTAGCACAATCAAATTTTTTCTTTGTTCAAAAAATTTATTAAAATAAACCAAACAGTTATTATTAGATCAAATAAATATTTATTTGAATTAAAGAAATTTTTTTTTGAACTAACCCAAAAAAAAATTGGCTAAATATAAAAAAAATGATACATTTGGTTCAAACATATCTTTTTGTATTTAATTTTTACCTGTGATCCCTCATTACTTTCTTCAGATGATGAACTAGCGCTGGACTATAAAAAACGATAATTGATTTAAAAAAAATTAAATAATACAAGAAATAATCGATAAAACAAAATTTTAAAAATATTCTTAAATTTAGTATAGGAATATTCAAATAAATAAAATAAGAACTTTAGAAAATTAGTATATTTAATTTTTACCTGCGATCCCTCATTACTTACTTCAGATGATGAACTAGCGCTGGACTATAAAAAACGACAATTGGTTAAAAAATTAAAATAAAGTAATATAATAAAAGAAAAAAAAAAAATTTTTATCAATAAATTTGGAATAAATATATTCAATCTCTGAAGTGAAATTACAAACTTTTCTTATTTCAAAAAAATTATATAATTAAAATTTTTACTTACTTCGCTACTTTTTGATGATCCAATGGAGCGTAACTATAAAAAAAAATATATTTTTTTTAACTGTACAAAACTCAAAGTAAATTAATTGCATAATAAAAATTAATTAATATATATATATATATATATATATATATATATATATATAACTATTTTAATTATATTAAGTATAAAACAAATTTCGTACTTTATCATGGGCACAACTGTACAATCTCTTAATGAAATCTTTTATCTGAAAATGATAAAAAAAATTTAATTATTCAACATATATTTTAAATTAATGAATTTAATTTTCTATAATATCACTATTAAAACTCACTGAACTTCCTTTTCCTTTAATTTTATCCAAAAGTCCTTTCAATTTCTCCAAATCAATTTTACCCTGTTTTGATGATAAAAATTTTTTTTTTTTAGAAAATATAATTAAAAATTATTTTGTACAAATTTTAAATACTTTATTTGTTACCTTCTTTTCTGCGTCTTCTAATTTATTCTTTAAACCATCAATACCTTTTTTCAAATTATCAAACTGAAAAACAAAATAGAAAATAAAATTATTATTAATAATAATAATAATTATTATTATTATTATAATTATTATTATAATAAATACACTTACAATATGATCTAAAGCCTTTGAAGCTTTCTCCAGAAGTTTTTTTTTGAATTTTAAATCCTACAAAAAACAATTAATATGAAAAATAAATATTATACGTTCACATTAAGTTAAATTATAAATTTCTTTTAATTAAAATTTATAATTAATAAAAAAGTTATTTACTAATTTATTTACTAACTTTTTCAATCAAATCCTTAATTTTGTCTTTGATTTTATCAAGTTTACTATGAAGTTTACCCAGCTATAAAAAAAAAAATTTTTTATTAGAAATTAATAATAAAGAATAATAATATTTTATTATATTTTTAATAATAGAAACATTAAAAATAATAACATACATGGTCGCTCAATTTTTTAAGAAGTTCACGTTGTTTATCGCCTAATTTAATTTCTTGCTAAAAAAAAAAAAGAAATTATAAATTAACAATTAAAAAAGCATTCAGCATATAATTTATATATTTTGAAAAAATCAAAAATTACACTAAATATAATTTTTTATTTGATTATCTTACTTTTTTTAATAAATCTTCTAAATTTTGTTTTAATTCTTTAGCACCATGAATTAAATGTTCACCCTGAAAAATTATAAATTAAATAATAAATAATCATAAAATTATGGTTAAAAAAAAAAAAATTCTTAATTTTTTAATTTTGTTGTAAAGAAACTTACGATTTTCTTAAGTTTACGTTTTGCATCATGTAAAGGCTTCCAAAGTTTGGGACGTTTCTAAAAAAAAAAAAAAATTATTTTTAAAATTATTAATCTTATTATATATTGTCACTTTATTCATTTTAAATCAAATTAAAATGAAAAAAAAAAATTCTTTTCTCTCAAAATAATACTTACAGCAATAAATTTAATTAATTTCTCTCCTATTTTGTCTGGTATTGATTTTAACTATAAAAATTATTTTTATTTTATAATATATAATTAATTTTATAATTAATTTATATACAGTAAATTCAAATAATTATTTCCTTTATTTATAATTTTATTTTTAATACTCACATCATCCGCTATTTTTTTTATAAAATCTTTTATATCATCACATGCGCATTTTTTTTTCTATAAATAAAAATAAAATATTAATCAAATGTTTTTTTTTTTTTGATAAAGTAACTTATACTTACATCTGATTTTAAAATATCAGTAGTAGGTAATTTTTCTTTAATTTCGTCAATGTGTTCCTCAATATTTTCCTATAAATAAAAATTTAAAAAAAAATTATTGTATAAATTTTATTCTCTACAATTTTAATAAATTATTTCTATTGATAATTATTTTAAAAAAATGGGATTTTCCAAATTTTGTCATTTTTATACTTACACGTGCTTTTAAACGATCATTGTGCAATTTATCTTCAATTTCTTCCTATAGAAATGAAAATAAAAAATAAAATTATAGAATGCTTTTTTAATATTAAATAGTTATATCATTTCTCCGGGTTGTATAAAAAATTGAATTTTCCAAATGTTTTAATTTATACTTACTTTTGCATTCGATAATTTACTTGATATTTTTTCTCTTTCTTCCTCCAATTTTTCAAGAATACTTGCATCAGAAGCTGTTGAAAAATTGAAAAATTAAATAATAAATATCCTTAGTAGGTATATTAATTTTTCTTTTTTTTTTTTTTTTTTTTTTTTTAATTTCAATTTTCTTACTAATTAAAGTTGCGCCCAATACAACTAAAATCCCAAATAATATCAAGGACTTCATATTAGAAATTTACAAAAATCTTACAATTATTTAAAAAATAAGTTTCAATTTATTTCTACTTTGATGATTTTACTGGGAAACTTGTATTGGAATAGTTATTTTCACGGTTTATATAGGAAGTAAAAAACATTGTCTTATTAATTCATAACAACGTTTTTACAAAAATTTTTTATCTAAAAACAATTGAAAATTTTTTTTTTTTTTAGAAAAATAGAAAACTATTGTAAACAAAAATAAAACAATAAAATTAAAATTTATTCAACACTAGAAAAAAAAGAAAGAGATACGTGCTAAATTCAAAAAAAAAAATTTTTTTTGCAAAAAGAAATTAATTTTATTGTTATGCGCAAAAACTTTATTACATCAAACGAAAAAAAAAAAAAAAAAACAATGACTATTTATTTTAATTTTCATTATAGTTTGTAAATATTTTTCTATTGTATTTATTATTTAGTAAAATATTTGTTTTAAAAAAAAAATTATATTCTTATTCTATGAATAGAATTTTAATTTTTTTTTTAAATAAACAAAATATGTTTTTTTGCAATTAAAAAAAGTACACTGAAAAAAATATTTATTTCATTCAAATAATCGTTAATTTATTATCAAATAAATATTTATTTGTATCAAATAAAATTTTTTTCTTATAAAAAATAAAACAATATTTATATGATAGAAAAACTAATAATTAAAATTATTATTTTTATATTATTATTATTTTTATTATTATTATTATTATTATTATTATTATTATTATTATTTTTTTTTTTATTATTATTATTACCATTATGTTTTAATTTACGTATTTAAAATAATAAATAAGATTTAAAAAATTTTTCCTGACAAGTTAATATTTTTTTTTTTAATTTTCCATATATGATTTTTTTTTTTTGCATATCAGTTGAAAAGTGATAATTTTACCATTTTTCATTATGTTTACAAAAGGTTTTTTTTTCGATACAAAATAATCACATGCGGGTATATGAAAAAATTCTTTATGCACAAACATGTTTGTCTATGTATATTGCATTTCCGTAAACGTTTAGAAATATCTTTCATTTACGTTGATTTTGAAATAAATTTATTCTAATTCACACAATGATATGCGGACCAGTTTCAGTAAATTATAAAGACCTACTTTTTTCTTTTCTTTGTTGATAAAATTCAATATATATTTAAAGGAGAACAACTCGATTTTTTCTTGTTTAGAATATACTAAATTTTAATTTTTCTAATAATATATATTTTTATATATAAAAATGTCACAAAATTATTTTTTTGTGTTTATAATTATTATAATTATTGTTTCGATTACATGTGGTGAGTATATAATTAATTTTTTTTTTTTTAATTATTCTTTAGTTAAATGCAAATAAAAATATTTATATTTGTCTAATAAAAAAAAAAATTCTAATTTTATAAATTTAAAAGAAATTTGGTTTTTTTTTTTAAATAAAAATGAAATGTTTGAAAATTATTTTTTTTAAAAATAGAATTGTAAGGAATAAAAATATAAAGGAAGATGAAAAAATCGAAAAATATTTTCAACTTATAATTATTGGAAAATGTAATATAATTTTTATACACTTTATTATTTACTGTAATAGTATCTGGGTTAATTGAACTGATAAGTAAAATCCAACAACAGAGGAAATTTACTGGAAAATAATTTAAATTATAGAAAAAAAATCATTTTCTTCTCTATAATAATTTAATTTTCAAAAAAAAATTTTGGAATATTTAACTCAAAAGAGAAAAAAAAAAGTACAAAAAAATTACAATACAAAAGAAATACAATTATTTAAAAAAAAATAAAAACAGTTTTTAAATACAAAAAATAAACAATTTTATAAATTTATTATACAAATTTTTTTATTAGGTACGGAAATTAATTTCGTGAACAGAAATAATAAAATATATTCAGAAGAAGGAAAAATAAAAAATATATTTAATAATAATGAGAAGAAATCAAAGTTACCCAAATGGATAGAAGAATTTTTACCACAATTTACAACTGAAATTCCACGTGATCCTCTTGACAAGGATGATGATAATTTACTGCCTATTAAAAATGATAAACAAATGCCAATTTTACAGCAGAAAAATTAATTTTTTATCCAAAAAGAAAAAAAATAAAATTTCTTATTAAAATTATCATAAAAAAAAATTTTTTAACAAGAAACATTATTTTTTATTTTCAGGGAAAAGATTTTATTAATTAAATTAAAACTATAATATTAATCAAATTAAATTAAATTATGAATTTTTGTTCATAAAATTAAAAACAAATTCTTTTAAAAAGTGTAAAAATTAATTTTTTTTTTAAATCAGTATTTTAGTTCTGATGATTTTTTTTGAGTATAACTTAAATAAACGTACATTTATAAATCTTCGATACAGTTTTTGAAATAATCTCGAACACCGTTTACTAAAAATTTAAAAGCAGAAACAACTTTTTCATTGCAGGCATAGGCATCCTAAAAATAAAAATTATTTATAAATGAATTAAGATAAAATTTATTTAATTTTTTTAGTTTTCTAATTTTCTAATTTTCTAATTTTTTAATTTTAATATATTTTTATTTATTAAAATATTTTTACCTCCACATTATTTTCATGATTATCTCTTACATTGCACTGATCTAATTCATTATAAAATTCATCGATCGAGGACAATAAAGCCTTTGAAGATACATGAATACATTCAGATGGATTTTTATCTGATTTCCTTGAAGTTTCACCTAGAAGCTATTTTTTTAATTATTATTATTATTTACTTATAAAAAAATAAACGTTTATTTAATAATAATAAAATATTATTTTTTAATTTTTTATTATCCATTATATTATAAACGTAAATAGAAAAAATAAATTTAATAAACTTACTCGAATTTCATCTAATATAGGATGTATAATTTGTTCCATTTCATTGATAGTCGATAAATCTAATTCAAATAAATTCTTTGTCAATAATTTTGATTTATTTAAATGAACGCTACTTTTTTCCCTTTGTTTTTCTTCAAAATCCAAATCGGCCTAAAAGGAAAATTTTCATTAAAAAAAAAAAAAACACTTTATTTTTATTTATTTTATTATTATAATACACTTACATAAATAAATTGAAAGATATTGAATATTAGAAGAATGTAGAAAATCACAAAATTCATTTTTCCTTTTTTGTTTTTTTATATTAAAAATTTCAAACAAAGCTGCGTACGAATCTTGAACGTATATAATAAAAGATCTATTTAAAAAAGTGATGATGATAAATAAATTATCAATTAATGATCACGATTGTCTTATCGACAGTTTTTGATAAAAAATTTAGTCACAGATGAGAAATATTGCGAGAGACTATATATATATATATATATAAAATTAAAAATTTTGTCGTTTTAAAAGAATTTCTTTTTTTTTTTATAAAACTTTTTTTCTACAAAATAAAATTTCAATATTCTCTTTTTTAAATGAGAATTCCCGTTATTTTATATCTTCGAAATTATCCCATATGAGGAGATAATAAAATTTCAAATATTTCAACTGAACATTATAGTAGCTGCTGGGAAGATAATTTAATTTTTTATATTTCCACTATTTTTCCAAAGCGTCTCATATACATATATTTTAAATGCAGTGAAAAAAATTTATTCGATTCAAATAATCGATTATTACTTGAATATTAAGATTAAAAAATATTTATATTTATTTATTTGTAGTTTAGATTTATTTTTAGTTAAATCTTTCACTATTTTAATGAAACCTTTCGCTGTTCCAGATAATTTTTTTTTTTTTTTGAATTTTTTTGAATTTAAAATGGTATATTTCTTTTGAATACTGAAATTATTTGGGTCAAGTAAATATTTATTTAGTTCAAGTAAATATTTTCTTCTTAATAGTATAATTTATTAATTAATTTTCTTTTTAACAAAAAAAAAAAAAAGAAATTTCAGAAAAAAAAAACTAACTGTTACTCCATTTTGAACGATCAATATCTTTCTTTTTATATCTCGCGAACCATTAAATTTCCCCTCGAAGATCACATTTCACGCCCATGAAGCAACATGGCTGACGATAGTCACCATGGAAACACCATAAAAATATCAGATCCTGGTTTTTGAGTCCATATTACATTTTTTTTTTTTTTGCGAATTTTCAAAAATTACGATTTTAGTTTACCTTCAACTTGTTCGTGCGTTTAAAACTAAGTAATTGTCTTCAGTTTGCTCAATATTATTACAAAAAATATTTCAATTTTTTTCCAGTATTTTGTAAAAAAAAATTTAATTTTTGTTTCGTAATAAGTGAATTTGTTTTTTAGTTTTTTGTTTCACAAAAATTAATAGCATATAAAAAAACAATTTAATTGTTATTATTTTTATTTTATTAAATTGTTATTATTTTTGTTTTATTAAATTATTATTATTTTAATTTTTTTAATATTAGTATTTTAATTATTTTTTTTTTTAAATAAAATTTTTTTTTATCTTTATTCATGTAATATTATAATAAAAGATTTCCTTGTTTTTTTTTTATTGTGTTTGAATTATTTTATGCGGGGCTTTCGCCCCAAAAAAAAAGAATTGCTTCAGTGAAAAGCGCGAACCTTGATGATTTCCTCAGTTGTCATCTGGTTCGTAAAAAGTTTTTTGCATACTTTGAGAATTTTCCGACCACAAGACTTTTTGTCCTTTGGTCGTTCCTCCTCTGTAACTTCAATGAGTTTCTTATATGCAAACATATTGTACATATCGAACAAAGGATATAACACAATCATTAGTTGTCCTTCGCTCACTTATTTATATTCAGGATTTCTTATTTCTAATTGTGAGAGAAAACGATACAACTGCGCCCTAGCGGCAGGTGAGTGATTTAATTATATATTTGAAACACACACAAATATATATACCTACTATAGACAAATTCCAAAAAAAAAAAAAAAAAAAAATTACTAGTAATTATTAACAATTTATTACTATTTATTTAAAAATTTATACAATTTATATTTTTATAAAATATTACATTATTTTATAAATTTAATTCCTCAAAATTTGCTTCCTCGTGGAGGAAGCTAAAAAAAATTTTCCAATTCAATTGATTGATTTTTCAATTTTTATTAATTCTCAAATTTTAAATCAAATCTATATACTTTTATGTAAACCAACCAATTCGTTTCAATGCAGGGAATAAATTATTACATTTTTTAGCTAAAAAAAGAAGATAAAATTTTTTTTTGAAGTATTTTTAAAAATCCTCTCCTCATTTTTAAATTCCAACCAAAATTTGGTTACGACAACAAAATAATTTGGTTAACACAACAAAATATAGTTTGGTTCTAAGAAACCAAATGATCGTTTATTGTTGTTCTAACCAAAATTTAGTTGCGACAACCAAATAATTCGCTCACAGCTCATAGCTTAACAGAAAAGTTAGTTTAAATCTCTCACAAGGATGGGTAGTCCAGTGGTCAGAGCTCCCGACCTTCAGTTTTAAAAAACAGAGGTTCGATCCCAGGCGGAGATGAGATTTTTCAAACTCCACAAATATTTCAATTGTATAAATATAAATTCAATGTTAAATTGGATATTAAATAAATAATGAAATAAATAGAAAAAAAAATAGAAAGATAAGAAATAAGGTAGAATCAAATTTTTAATTTTACAAAAAAAAAACTGTTGGTTTGATCAACCAAACATTTTTGTTATGCCAACAAAAAATACTCAACCAAATTTTTTAGTTGACCCAAACAAATAGTTTGGTTGCTTAAATACCAACAAAATCTTCTTCAGATCTTCTTAAATTCAATTATTTAACAAATTTAGAACTAAAATGATTCTTCACTAAATTAATATTATTTTTAATAATTTTAATGAAATACATCGCACAAATTCAATTATATCAAAATTATTTTTCAATTAAAATTTTTATGAAATTTAACAATTGTTTATAATTTAAAAAAAGAATATCACAATAAAATTGAATTATTTTTTAAAAATTTCAATTCAAAATAAACATTATTACCCGAAATTTTAATTCAAAATCAATTAAAAATCCAATAATTATCCAAAATTTTCAATTTAAAATTTAATTATTTACCAAGTTTTCAATTTAAAATGAAAAATAAAATTCGATTATTTTCTAAAATTTCTATTTAAAATTAATTATTTAAATTTTCAATCAAAAATGAACTTAAATTAAATTATTATACAAATTTTAATTAAAATTCAATTATTTCCCAAAATTTTCAATTCAAAAATGAACTAAAATTCAATTATTTTCCAAATATAAAATCAAATAAAATTTCATTATTCGCAAAAATTTTGAATTCAAAATAATTGAATTTTCAAACTATTTTCAAACTATTTTAATAATTTTCGTTGAAAATTCAACTATTTGAAACCATTTTTCACTAAAAAATGATTTTCAAATTATTGTATTTTGTCCGCATTTTCTAATAAATTTTTAATAAAATCATCTAAAATTTTAATTACAAAAACGCACTTAAAGTTTCAATTAATTTCAATAATCTCAATTTTAAATCTTTAAAAAATTCAATTAAATTTAAAAAAATATTTTCCAAAAATTGTTTGATAAATTATTTTTAATTCTGTAAAATTTAATAATTGTTTAAAAATTAACAATATATCTTTTGAAATTTAATTATTTCTAAAAATTTCAACTTTAACCCTTCAAAAAGGATTATTATTAAAAAAAAAAATTTTTTTTTTTATTTAAAAATCTGTAAAATATTTTTGTTAAAATAAAAAACAAATCCACTTTTTTTTTGGAATATAAATCGACTAAAACGACTTTTTTGTGTCTTTAAGTTGATTCGAGGCCTGTATTTTTATAATTAATATTTAATATAGGTATTCGTTGGCCCCTGGTACCTTAAAAATTAATTTTTAAAAATAAATTTTTTTAAATTACTATCTGGTACTATTAAAAAAAAAAAAAAAAACACGTGAAATCAGAAAAGGCCAACTTCAAGTTAGGACAGAAGGACAGACCAAGCATTTTATTATTATATAATAATTATTAGTATTATTGTTATATTGTTGTTGTTATTATTATTATTATTATTATTATTATTATTATTATTATTATTATTATTATTATTATTATTATTATTATTATTATTATTATTATTATTATTATTATTATTATTATTATTATTATTATTATTATTATTATTATTATTATTATTATTATTATTATTATTATTATTATTATTATTATTATTATTATTATTATTATTATTATTATTATTATTATTTTGTTATATTATTATTATTATGCTGAAATAAGTATATGCGTGTAATTTTTAAATTAATTTGAAAAAAGATTTATCAAATGAGATCAAAAATAAAAATCGTCAGAAAACGGTTCTTTCTTGATGAAGAATCTTCATCTTTATAATATATATATATGTGTGGGATTTTATGATAGGTTTGCATTATCAGAAAAAAGAGGGTAAAAAAAAAACAGTGGAAGTCATGCATTGCCAAAGCCATTTCTTCTATCCCCTTTACAATTTTACAACTTGGAACCTTGCATCGTTTGACAGAGAATCATCCGCACCAGGACCACCTCATTTTCTCGCGTGGTATAAAGTCTCTAAGGTTATAGGCATAGCTATCTTGTGCCATTCTTCTTTATGACTCATCCCGTTAAGCCATTATATTTATATATATATATATATATATATATATATATATATATCCGATCCGTCATTTCAAATATATTCCACGGATCTTTCACGAAAAAAACGAACAAACTTGATTCTCTTCCCTTTTATTGCCCCTGGTCCAGCTGCTTTCGCAATATTCTCCTTCTCAGCATTGTTTGAACGTTATAAATCAGTCTCCTATATATATATCCAATTTTAATTTCATTTTCGTTTCTCTCACAAAAGAAATTATTTTAAAAAAAAAAATAATCACGAAATTTTTATGCAAATTTTGAAAATTTAATTTAAAAAAAATTTATATTGTTAGAATTTTCTTTTTATAGAATTTTAGTATCACAGAAAATTAAAAGGCATTAAAATAAGCTATGCAACGCTTATTATTTTAATCCAATTTTGCACTCAGAGAAATGGTATATTTGTCTCCGAGCCTACTAACTCATTTATTTGTTGCAAATATATTTCATTTCATTGAAATAAAAAATTTATTTGAGTCAAAGAAAAATTTATTTCTGACAAATAAAATTTTTATTTACCCCAAATAAATAAGTTAGTAGGCTCTGAGACAAATATAGGTTTATTTAACTCAAATATATTTTATTTGGTTCAAATAAATCATTTCTCTGGGTGTGCTTATTTTAATACCAAAATGGATTAAAATAATAAGCGTTGCAGCTTATTTTAATGCCTTTTAATTTTCTGTGTAGATACAATTTTCATTGAGACGAATTTTATTTTCCAATTGTAAATTGAATCAACGAAAATTTTCAACATTAAATTATTACCATAAAAGATTAAAAATAATCAATTTTTTCTCTTTAAATTTTTTTTTCAATTTGGTAAAAAATAAATGTTTTTTATATAAATTCATTTTTTGAAAGTTTACAATTTTAATCTACGATTGATTAAATCGTTATGAATCCATTTTGGTATAAAAATAATATTCAAAAAATTTTTTTTTTTTTTTTTTGTTCTTTGCAGAAAAAAGTGGTGTAGGAATTATTTTTTACTTTTTTATAAGTGCCCTAATTTTCGAGTAGTGGATTTTTAAAAATCTGGTGTTTCCGAGGTTTTTTAAAAGTAGGCCTAATTTCAATGTCATCAAATGTATTGAATTAAGGAACTTTTGCCAGGAAAAAAATGTTAGTTTTTTTATGGACTTTCAATATAAGTTAACAAAAAAAATTTTTTTTTTTTAATTTTTATATGAAAAATAATGATTTTTTACAAACAAATGAGTTTTGAATTTATTTATTACATTTATTTGAATTAAATAAAAAAAAATTTTTTAAACTAATCACTAAAAATTCAAAAGGCATTAAAATAAGCTGCAACGCATTTTAATTTAATTTTGCATTATTTTAATCCATTTTGGTATTAAAATAAGCAAAATTGGATTAAAATAATAAGCGTTGCGCAGCTTATTTTAATACCTTTATAATTTTCTGTGAATTTTTTTTTTTTTTTTTTTTTTTTTGAATCAAAGATAATATATTTTTGTTTGAAACAAATATAAATGTTCTTTGTATCAATGAAAAAATTTGTCAAAGAAATCTTTTTTCTGTGTGTTTATACAAATATCAAAAAAAAATTATTTTTCTTTTTTAAAAATTTGTGTTTTTTTTCGAAAAAAATGAGATATTATTTAAAAAAAAAAAAAAATGGAAAAATTCATATTGATTTCGAGTGAAAGATACTCGGCGGCATATAGCTGAAACATCCTCCCCTGTTAGTATTATATATATAAGGTATGGGATGGATCAAGATTATATGACGAAGGGACCAATTGAACCGGGGAATATAGTGCTTAGGGGCAACTATCATAAAAATTTTCCTACACCAATAAGAAAACTGCAAGCTATACTTTCTTCCAAGGGGTGTTTTTTTCCTATTTTTTTTTTTTTTTTTTTTCCCCAACTCAAAATGTAATGGCGAACATTTCGACGTGAAATAACTTTCTTACTATATGACTTCCATCGCATATACCCAACATTATCCTAAATTAATCTCGTAAATGGATTTTTACACATATATATATATATATATATATATATATATATATATATTGCAATATCATGTAACCCTACTGCCGTGCATTAAAAACTTTATTGTTTGTACTTGAGAAAAAAAAGCCGAGTTCGTTTTTTTTTTAATATTAAACAAAAAATGAAAACTAATTATTATTATTATTATAGAAATTATTCGTTCAAGTACAGTTTATATAATTCAAATAAAAATTATTTGATTGAAATAATTGTTTGATTCACTAAAAATTGTGATTGGAAGCTGCAACTTATTTTTTTTTTTTAATATATTTTAATTCCAACATCTAAACTTATACCGAAATTAAAATTAAAATTTATACTGAAAAAAAAATTTTATATACAATTTATTTAAAAATAAAAATTTTTAATGTAGTAGTAAATAATAAAATAATAATTATTATTTAATAATTAATAATTAATAATTAATAATTAATAATTAATAATTAATAATTATTGTTTATAAATATCAAACTTACCTGAATATTTCATTTTATTTAATAAACCTCAATTTCTTTTTTTTTTTGCATTAATTTTCAATTTTGATATTATTTTTCAATTTTTAATTTGAAAATAAAAATTATTATTTATTTATTTAACAAAAATACACTTGTTTATATTTGTTATTTAATTAATAAATAAATTCTGAACTAATACAGAAAGAATTTTCAATTTATCGTAAATAAAAAATATAGAAATGAAAAATTTTTCTTAATATTTTTTTTTATTTCATAAACATTTTTTTTTCAGTCAAGGACTTTCGATTTTTAACAATACAAATTTTTCTTTATTTTCTAATATATAAATGTTATTATATATAATTATTTAAGAAAAAAATATTACTTTTCTCGAATCAGTTATTTTAAAAATGTAAATATTTATTTGCATCGAAGAATTATTATATTTGAGTAAATTATATTTTATTTGTTACAAATATGGAAATTATTGCTTAGAATAGAGTATATTTGATAATAAATAAAAATTATTTCCCTGTAGTAAGTATTTATTTCTATAACACTAATTATTTAATTAAATAAACAGAAAGCAAGTAATTTAATATAATAATTTTAACCCAATAGAATGATTCGAAAGAAACCCCTATAGAGTGTTTAACTTCCTTACTTCCATGCCTAGCAAATGATCAATTTCACCCGCTTTTGGTTATTTCATTTATTAATTTACCAAAATTTTAAATAAACAAATATATTATTTTCTCTATTTATAATAACAGATAAAAACTCTCTTCTAGCTTTATTTTCAGTTTAAATAAAAACCTTATGAGTTATTTAATTAAAATTCAAAATTACAAATTTTTAAATTTAAATTCAAATTCTTCACTATTAGTGCGCATGCGTAATGTACATTACATTTTCCGGTTCCCGCTCACATAATCTACCTTACCGATTACTCTAGAGAGGATCTTTAGTCCAATTTACATAGATGGCTAGTATAACATAACAACCCAACCCTTATACTCGTATTTACTATAGAACATAAAATCTCTCTTGAAAAATATTATAAAAAATATGTTTTAATAACTGGGTAATTAGACTAATTAGGCTATGTTAATTATTTTATTTTTTATATACCAATACGTGTCATGTCACTTTTAAATTTTCAACAAATGGATAAATTCAAGTAGTATTGTTATTAAAATTATATTGTGTATTTTTTCCATTTTTCTTTAATATATGTATTTTAATATAATTATTATTTGATTATAAAGAGTTTTTCCAGTATTCTGTGATTCATGTTTATTTTCAGTTATTATTTACTTAAAGAAATATTTATTGTTGAAAAACTGAATTTAATTGGAAGTGTTATCCTAGAGAAAAAGTAAGTACATATGTTTATATTTAATATAATTTTTACAATAATGAAGACATATTTGTCTCAAATTTTGCCACGTTTATTTAAGTTTATTTTGTACTATCATATATGTATATATATATATAAATCATTTAATTTAACATATGTGAATTTAAGGTTATGTTTGTTTATCTTATTTGAAAAACGACTTTCGTTTATAAAAAAAAAGTTTTTATTCTTATTATTTTAATTTATTTATAGAAATTATAATAATTGAAAACAATTTTATAGCTTTATTGATAAAAAGTCTTGAAGAAGATTAAAAAAAAAAAATTTGATAAAAATGGTCCATTTGTTCAGAACATATCAGTTATTCACAATTAATCAACCCTATTTATTTTTCTGATATGTCTGTTTTATTTTAAAGTTACATATCATCAAGTGATGTATTTATTTCTCTGGATAGCACAGAAAATGCTGCTTTAATTTTTTTTTTTTTTTTTTTTTTTACTTAGAATATATTTATTTCATGTTTATATTGTTTCATTTTAGAAGAAATAATTTATAAGAAGATTATTTGGTATACAAGATAATAAAAATGGATAAGCTTAGAAGAGTTTTAAATGGCAATGAAAATTGTGACGAGGAAAGTGGAATTATACCACAGGTAATATTTTGTTTATTAAATTAAAAATATTTTTAAATTTTATATACAATTTACTAAATATATTATAAATAATGTAATGCTGCAAAGGGTGATGAGGATTTTGTGGTAAGCTTTTTTTCTTTTATCTTTTAATCATGTTTTAAAATAAATTAAATTTTTAATTATTTGATTAAATAGGTATATTGAATGATAATTTCAATTATTTTTTTAATATTGCAAATTGTACTTTAATAATATTATATTTTTTGAAGGTAATGGACGCGTCAACTTTAAGTTGGTCAACGAGAATAAAAGGTTTTGCAATTTGTTTTGTGATTGGCATTCTTTGCTCATTTCTCGGATCATTTGCACTTTTTTTGAATAAAGGATTTTCCGTATTTGCCGTTTTTTATACGCTTGGCAATATTATTTCATTAGTAAGGTATAATCAAATTTCTATATTATTTTTCACTTTTTTTTATAATTGTAGTTTATTAATTTTAAATTAATTTTTTTTTTAAAGTACATGCTTTCTAATGGGACCAGTGAATCAATTGAAAAAAATGTTTGCATCCACAAGAATAATTGCTACAATACTTGTGTTCGTGTGCTTAGCAATGACTCTTGTTGCAGCTATTGGAGTAAGTAATAAAAATTCAAAAAAAAAAAAATTAATTAATTGTACATGTTTATGTTTACATAAGTATTTTTTTTAATCAATTCTGTAATTAATAGAAATATAAATTTATTTACAGTTACATAAACCAGGACTTGCACTTCTTTTTATAATATTGCAGTCTTTATCATTAACATGGTATTCATTGTCATATATTCCATATGCTCGCGATGCTGTAAAGAAGACTGTTGAATCCTGTATTACGTGAGAATTCTCTTTTAAAAAAAAAGAAGAAAAATATTAAAGGACAAGAACAAGAAAGTGTTGTATATTGTAAACTGAATGAAACTTAAAGTGAAATTTAACAAAAACTACAAAAAAAAAAATAATAGTTAGCAATTTAAAATTTTAAATTTTTACAAGACGCATTTATCAAAGTCAATTATTTTTTTATACATCTTTTATTGAAAACAATCAAAAAAAAAATAAATTAAATATTAGATTTGATTTGATCATTGATATCTCAATCAAGTTAAGAAAAATCCCAAATGTATTTGATACACACATAAGTGTCTTAATAATTATTATTAGGTATTAATATTATTATTATTATTAGGTATTATTATTATTATTATTATTATTATTATTACTATTGTTATTATTAATAATAATTTAGACATTTATAGAACCTAAATTTTTATGAATATAAAATGTTCAAAATATATTTTGCCCGTTTGTGAACAATATTTTCGTATAAATTGCAAAAAAAAAATTTATTTTATTAAAATAGTTAAATACGAATATTAATAATTTAAATTAACTTTATCTACGCTGTTTGATAATATGAATTGTTTTTCCTACAAGTAAAATGTAATATTTTATAGGTTTGTTTCATTCATTGTAGTGTTTTGTAATTTTATAATTAATATACAAGTGAAAAAATAATTCTTAACGTATTTTACAATAAAAAAAAAAAAATTGTAAAGAATTACAAAATTGAAAATAAATTTAACATTTATCAAATATTTTCAAAAAGTATTCGAAATTTGAAGAAAAAAAAAGAAACTTTTATTTAAAAATTGGATTATTTGGAGTATTTTTGTATGAACAAACTTTATGTAAGGAAAAATGTGACGTCATTTTCGAAAAGAAAAGAAATTAATTGATTCACTTTAAGAAATTAAAATTTATTTTGTAAATGTAAATAAAAATTTATTTTTATGCACAACTAAAGGGCAGCACTTTTTATATTAATTATTACAATAATTATTTTCTGTAAAACAATAATGAAATTGAATAATTTATGCCTTGTAAATGTAAAATACAATTTACTGTATTGCGCACAATATCAAAATTAAGTGAAAATATTTTATGAATATGATATTATATTATATTTAATTACAGGCTATTTTTAAAACAATTTTAGAAAGCGAATTATTAATTTGAATTTTAGAAATTTGTGTATAAATTTCCAAATAAAAAAAAAAAATGCTACTCAAATTTAAAAAAGTGTATAATATTTTTGATTTGCAATTAATTATATTAATGACGCATATATAGGATAAGAAAACTACAAAATATTGATGAAATAACATAATAATTTTATTTACATTTTTTTTTCAAATAAAAACTATATTTATATGTATATTACTTTCAAAAGTCTGATTTAAGTATAGGTATAGCACACATTTTTCTAAGAAATATAATTATATTTTATTATTATTTTCACTAATTGAAAATTAAAATTAACAATAAAGTAAAATGCATCATTTAATAGCGCCATCAGTAAAGAATATTTAATTTTTAACAAGAAATAATTCTCTTTATTCTTTTGTAATAAATATATGTAATAAATATTTATTTTAAAATTAGGACTTATAAATTTAATGAAGAGTTAATTATGAAATTTTCACTCGTATAATCATTACATATTTATATACATTTATTTATTTATAGAATAATTTTTTTATTTATATATTTGCTGTTAAATAAAATACTACCTGGCATTTCAATTTACATTCTTTAGAGTAATTGTTTTTATAATCTCTAATTTTTAATCTCTTTCAGTCTGTTTTCTTTTTTTTAAAAAAAGATTAATATCGAAATAAATTTATACTGAATTAAAGAATTTGTTTATATTGATGTTAGATTTTTGCAAATCATTGATATAATTTTCTAACATAGATCACAAATTTCGATTTACATTGTCTTCACAAAATTATTTGCTATTATATTTCTAAATATATATTTTTATCACAAAATTGTTTTAGTATACATAGAATAAGATTTTAAATGTACGTTTATACGCTAATTGTTTATTAGCAGGAAGTTAAATTTAAACTAATATCAGGAGTGTTTACAAATGGAAGTTTAATACTATTAAAAATGGAGCGAAAGAAAAATTATAAACATAATAAATAAAAACAATTTTTATTTGTTTCGAAATTCCTTTTTTTTATTAAATATTATTTAAGAAAGGAAGTGTTTTTTAATTTCTTTTGCTCCATTATTTTAACTAGATATCAGCACTGAGACATTGAGGTATGTGTAATTGTTATAATATTTAAGACTTACACAACTTTGGTTTGAATTAAATCAGTCGATAATATTTAATGATTGTAAACAAGTTTGGTGTAAAAGATAAATCCTTTTTTTTTCTTCTTATTTTTAGATTCTGCATTCATCAACTACTTTTGCAATATTCTATTAATAAATGCCAAAAATGACATTTTGTAAATAAAACATTTTTCAGTGACACATTATTATTTAAATAAAATAAAAATTCCTTCATTTTTATCAATTAAAATTGATTTTGATAACGATTACTGACAATAAAAATAATGAAATAAAAGAGAAATGTTTAAAAAAAATATTTACACTTGAAATATTTGCTATAAAACGATTTACAATTTTTTTTTTATAGATAGTCGTTGTAAATGTTTCTTATTCTTCAAGTTTTCAGCTCAAATATTGAAGGAACATTAAAAAGTGTCTTATTGAATAAACTTCTATTTTTTGAGCTGAAAATTTTTAAAATAATTTCCAATATTTTGCACATATAAAAAACAAATAAATAAATAAAAACCCTTTATGCAAATCTCATTTTTACTTTTCCTAGATTTAAAAAAAATCTATCACTTTCTCGTACAAAAAATTAGTTTTATAGTGGAAGTGCAATTTTTAGTTGCAAAAAAAAAAAAAAAAAAAAAACTATTGGAACTGCATTTCCGCAACTTACATCATTCTATAATTTCTTTAATGTCATTATAGTAAATGAACCACTTGTTTGTACCATAATTTTGCTGCTGATCTTTAAAGGAAAATAAATCATTTTTAAATTCAAAAAAAGAAATTTTAATTTTCAAAATAATAAATTATTTACTTACCTTAAGCAACTTTTTGGCATTTTGTGAACTTGATGCCATAAAATACAGGCAAAAATTAAACTCCAAGTTCTTAATGGACAAAGTATCGTTGCCAATGTTCCATATGCCAACCAAAAGAAATAAGCCATACCTGCTTGCATTAATATTAACATCACAAATAATAAATGCTGCGATATTAATTGAATAAAAGAAAATCTTTTCGCAGGTGGCTTTCTTATATTTTGCAATCTGAAAAAAGAATTTTTTTTTTTAAACCAAATTTTTACAAAAAAAATATATATATTTGTTGTAAATCACGTAAAAATTACAAAAAAAAACTAACCTTTTATCGATACGATGTGCCAAGACAAGATTAAGTGGAAGATGAAATGAAAACAATTGAAAGAATCCATAAGCATAAGTAAACGATCCGGGCAAATAATTATTACCAACAAACGTTCCCCAAGCAAATATTACTCCTACATTATCTTCAATTACTTCACCAATAATCCATGGTCCTTTAATAATTATTAAAATAGTATAATTATCGTCAATAAATATAAATATATAAATAAATTATTTTTTCTCACCGATAGCTAAATAGACTTCATAAAAAACTAATGGAAAAAATAGCCTGTCAATGGTAGACATTATCCATAATTTTCTAATTAGTTTTTGAAACAATCGAATGCGTAATCTCGGTGGTTCTCTATATTTTTCTGTGACATCAAAATTTCAAAAAAATTTATTAAAAAAAAAAAAAATTCACTCTTTAATAAAGATGGTAAAATAATTTATTACCTTGATAAAGCATATGCATGAAACGCAATACGCATAAGGGAATAATTAACAATAATAGAGTACTTCCAAAAAGGAACTGGAACTAAAAAAAAAAATTTAATTATATTTGAAAAATTTAAACATTTTTTTTTTTACTTACAATATGGCTGACATTGGACATGAGAATTAATCGTGGAAGAACGCTGAATGATAGTCTGGTGCCATCTAAAGAAAATGATTGTGTTACAGTTCTTTCTCTGCCATCACTGTCCTTAACTCGAACCTAAACAAAGAAAAAGGAATATTTACCAAAAGAGTGTAATTAAAAAGAATTTAAAAAAAAAAATGGATACCTGAATATTATGAATGCCTATTAAGTAATTTGAAGTATTCCACTTCGCTACATAAAGTGGTCCCTTCACATTTTTACATTGAAGCCACAAATCATTGTTCACTTTGACTTCAACTTTTGTTATAGGCGCCAATGAAAATGTCAATACTCTAAAAAAAAAAAATAAAAATTTTAAAATCATGAAAAATGGTAACATATTCTTAATTATAAAAAAAATAATTTTATACCTAATGTGCGTAGATTGAACAATAGATTGAAGATTCTCTTTCTGTGGCATTGTGAATAGCGCATGTTTTGGATTAGTAATTAATGCTACAGGCCATTCACGATGATTTGCATCAACAAAAGAGAATTGACCATGATCAATTGCACCAAGTCGATACCTATTTTGAAAAATATTCACATTATTTAAACATTTATCATAATAAAAATTAAATTCAAATTAAATAATTAATTGTTTTTAAAAAAATATCTAGAATAAAAATAATGCTTACATTCTATTATCTTTCCAATCTGCCAATTCTAATTCAAGGAAGCCCGCTTGTTGCATAGTATACATGTTAGGTACAGCTCCACCAAATGTATGATAATGGCCACAAAGATATGCCAAACCCTCTCTATATTTTCCTATTAATAATTATAAAATTAATAAAATAATTATCTAATTTTTCAAATTGAGAAATTTGTTTTTAAAATTTTTATAAACTATTTATATTAATATAATTTTTTTCTTACCTAAAATATTTCTAACACCACCTTCGCATTGAGCTAAAATACACGATGTTGGATAATGTCCAAACCAAATAATATAATCTCCATTATTTGCTCTTGAATTTTGAACGAGGCGATGAATTTTTTCCACTTCCTTTTCATTTAAAGCGCCAACAAAATTAAATGGTCTTCTTGGTCCTGGTTGTAAACATGCATCGATAGCAATAAAAGAATAAACTTCACCACCCACTGAAACTTGATGCATATAAGAACGTGGATATTTTTTCCCTTGAATTGAATAGTTTGCAAAATAATTTTCCCTCGATTTTATATTCATAACGTTAAAATTGTCTGAAAAAAAAAATTAAATTCATTCATTAGGTATTTAATGAAAAAAGATACGAATTTTCACAAAAATAGAAAACAATTTAAAACATCATTTTTCTTTTACCGTGATTGCCTCTGACATCTAACCAAACGGTTCTGTTAACAACGTGACTTTCTTCTAAAACTCGTTTATAATGCTGCCATTCCTCCAATATTTGTCTTGATCCCATTTTATCGCTTGTTTTAGCATCAGTCAAATCGCCTATTTTTCAAATTAAATTCTTAGACAAAATTTTGCAAAAAAAAGTCGCATTTTATACTACTATTCAAAAATCAAAATAGTTTAAAAAAAGAATATATTATTGTTAAATTACTTGCCAGAAGCGAGAACAACTATTGGTTTGATTGCATCAATTGTTTCATCGCAAAACTCTTTAAGTTCCGTTATTCTTGAAGGATCATGAAATATACTTATGTGAATATCTGAGATCTGTGGGGGAAAAAAAAAATATATATATATATATATATATATATAATTTAAACAATACGTACAGTTATCTAAAAAAAAACAATTATTTTTCATACAAAAAAGGAACCTACTTGTAAAAACCACATAAGACTTTCATATGAATATCCAATTTCATATTTTTTTGGTTCATATAAATGTTGATCAATTGAATCTGAAGTTTTATAAGTTGCACTGTTTACATTACTATTGGAATCAACATTTATTAAATTCACAACATTAGCGACAAATATTGACAGCATCAATATAAACATTAAAACAATCACTGCGGACTTTGACGTTTTCATTTCCATAACATCCAATTAATTATATAACTATTTTTTTTATATAAAAACATTGAAAAAATACAAGCATTTTGAATGGAAAGAAATTTATATAGAATTTAATTTTCTTTTTCTATGAAAATTCAGCGTTGAATTTCACTTGAATAATAAAATAACATTATTTGTGTATAAGCTGAATTGAAAATTCATTTTCACTTTTATTGTCTAATAATATATATATATATAATATAGTGATTTTTCTCAAATGTCAAATCATATCAATTGATGACACATTTACTTCTTCTTCTTCTTCTTCTTCTTTTTCACATACAAATGTATATATATATTTTTTAATAGCGTCGATTTATCAGGCCAAATTTTTCACAAATATATTTAATATTTAAATAATTGTTTATGCGCTTTTATAACTCGCGAAATACACAAATAATCTTGACTTTTATATGAAACTTTATATTTATTTCTGCGCAGGATTCAATTTTACCCCTCCATTTTGAAAAAAAAATCAGCTGATTATAATTGGGTAGTTACCACGGTCGTATTGTACAGGGTCCGGAATCTTCAGGTGTCGGGGGGTCTCGCGGTGAAAACCCGCCGATAGGTGGCTACGTGTCGTAAAGTAAATGAGCGCTAATATTTAAATTATATAAAAATCTTATTTGTCATAAAACACAAACATTAAAAATGTTTAAATTGTATTATACAAAAAAAAAATTAATAAGTACAACACTATTTTACACAAAGCAAAATGAATTTTTCATTAAAAGTAAATTTCCAGTAAATTATGTACTTGAAAAACAATTTAATATATATATAAAGATCTATAAATCGATAGCTTTAGTAAACATAAAACGAAAGAAGATAAATGATTTGATGACTAGAACTTTAATTTCGTATTCTAGAAGAAAAAACATTCGAAAAAAATATTATTTTTTTTTTAATACTAATAAACCTAAATGTATTTATTTTTATTAAAATTATTTACATATTTTTTTTCTTAAACTACATCCAAAATTATTAAATTTATATTTATCTAATTCGTCACTTTCTTTCGTTTCAATTGTTTCGCATCCGAATTACCATGTAACATCGCCTGATATTCGGGAAATTTAATTTCAGTTTCCTGCTTTATTTGCATATAAGATTTGTATTTAGGAATACGTAATACTTTTTTACCAAAAGATGTCAATAATATTAAATTTAAAGCTAAACCATAAGATGAACTTGTTAACCAATATAACAATAATCCCTGAAAATAAACGATAAAAATCATATTTAATTCGATATATTATTTTAAAATACTAGAAGAAATTATTTTCAGTTTTTACAAAATTAAATAAAATAGATTATTAATAATAAATTATTAACGTACCGATGGTAATTGTGTGGTAATAGGAATAGTTCCCACACTGAGAATTCCAAATGTGGCACATACAAATTTTTGCACAATTGTCGGATTATTAAAATTATTATAATATAACTGTAAATAATAATTAATTAATTAAATTAAATTAATTAAATCATTTAATTTGAAATATAATTTCTCGATAAATTAAAAAATTAATTCATTTTACATAAAATTATATTACCAATGTTAAAAATAATTATCAACTTACTCCAACAATAGAAAGATTTATTACACCAATAGTTAAGGGCAATATTAAAGAACTATCTGGTACTGTAAGATTAGTTAACCATCCAATTCCATTTGTTGCTATTTCAGAATATACAGGTACATTGGCTATGAAAAAATTTATTTTTTTTTTTATGAAATTTTTTTTATCTAAAATCTATTAATAAATGTAATTTTTGAAAGTATTTTATTTACCGGGATCTGTGAATGGAAAAATACAACATACATTTCCAATCGCCATAGACATTCCTAACCAAGCTGTAAACTGAAATACAACACAACTAAAAGCTTTCAGTGGATTTGTATTTTCCTCGTGCATTGCATGTTTCCATACTACTTTTATCTGCAATTTAAAAAAAAAAATTTTTTTAAATAATAAATATAATTTACTCAAAATTGGGAGTTTAGTTTACAAATTTCCCAAAAGAATTTTTTTCTAAATTATAATTTCCTTATGTTAAAAAAAAAAATTTTGACTCTAAAATATTTACCATATCTTGATACCTGCTCTTAGCGAAATCCATTGGCCAACCAAACTTTTTCATTGAGATTTTAATTTCTTCTTTAATTAGTTCCATACTTATATTAAATTTTTGTTGAACATTATCTAATGCAATAAGACATCGACGCTGAAATTTATTAAATTCTCTATTTAAAAAAAAAAAAAACCATAATAGCAGAAAAAAAGAAAATTTATATTTACCTGTTGCAAAGAAAGAGGAAAATAAAATATAGTTTTTAAAATAACTGACGATAATACTATAGTTGCCCACCATGGTAAACCGGTATAATTATGTAAAAATTGTAAATATTCTTGACAATAATTTACCAAAGGACTCTCTGATATATCTTTTAATGAAAGTATTAATCCTTCTTTGTGAGTAATAAATCCAGAATTACTAACTTCATTAGTAGCCTCTGATAAAGTATCAGTAATTGATAATGCACTAGATGTTGATTCATATCTTACATTCAATTTTCCAGGTAACCTCAAAGAATTATTGAATAAGCTTCTTTTGACAATTCCATTTCTTAATTCTGTTTGACGATAATACGAATATATTTTATTATTTCCAGTGGAATAAACTGCATTGTTGTGATTTGAAAATGAATTTGTTGATAAATATTTTGTTATTCGTGTCAAATTATTGCCATTGGAAAAAACGGATATTAAATGTTTATTACATTTATAAACATTATTAGCATATTGAGAATATTTTTGTATTTGCATTTCACAAACAGAATTTCGAACAAGTGAACCGATAATTAAATTGTTCATTTTTTATCGCAAATCTATATTTTATACCAGCAGTAAAATCATAACATAACCAACAAATCGTTCGGACTTCATATAACATGAATTTTAGTTTCCACCGCGATAAATTCTAAAAGTTTACGATTATCAACAAATTTTCTCTATTAAATGATGATTATATTTACAAAATTCAGTGTAAATAATTATTTTAAATAAGAAAATATTTTTAAATGCACAAAATCGGAATTCCATGCGTACCAAAGATGGGTACGTATAATACGTGAATATTTTACAAAAATAAGAGTGAGTGGGGAGGTTTTCTACGTATAATACGTATTTTACATGATTAAGAAAAGCACTTTTACCCATCTCTGATGCGTACTATAATCAACAAAAACAAAAAAAATATATACATATTTAAAGAAAAACAGTGATATTTTTGTTAAATTTCTGCATAAAAAATGCAGATGCAAATTTTATACTGATTCACAGTATAGTAATGAATTTTTTATTCATAATTTTCTTTCAAAAATATTTTCTGTGCGTTATTTAATTTGTTATAAAATCATGGAGCAACTTTCTACCGGTATTTTAAATGTAAGTTTTTTTTTTTTCATTAATTAATTATTTCTTTTGTAATTATATTTCTAAGATAACATTTTTAATTTTCTCTATAGAGAATTATAAGTGGAGAGACAATAAATGATCCCATTTTTTTGCAATATGTGGTAAGTGTTTGTTATTTTGAATATTTATTTATAAAAAAATGTTTTCTATGGTAATTAATAATATATATTTTTTTTAACTTTATAAAGGGTTCGAAATGTATAAACAATGATAAATATAGATTATGGCTATCAGATGGAGAAATAGTGACATCTTATGCATTTGGTCATTCAAATGATTTGGAACTTATACGAAATGGAATTTTAACGAATTTTTCTCTTTGTAAAATTAATAATTATGTGTTAACAAAAAGTAAAGGTTTAGTAACGTAAGTTTAAAAAAAAAAAAATTCATTCAAGAAAACAATTTCACGTTGTTCTTTTCTATAATTATGTTTAATTGCTTTAGGCCTGTTATTATGATTCGAAATATTGAAGTAGTAACATCAGGTGGTGAAATTGGAAATCTTCTTGGAAAACCAATTATGTATGAACCAAAAGCATTGAATATTAAAGAACAAATTCCAGGTTTTGAATTAAATTATTATTTATAAATATATTAATAGAATTATTTTTTTTTAATTTTAATTTTTGTCGAAATTTTAATTTCTCGTTTAGTTGTAGAAGAAGTTCAAGTAAATCACGTAAATTCTCAGCCTTCGAGTTCACAAAATGTTATTGCCACTGTGCCAATAATACATTTGAGTCCATATTATGGAAAATGGACAATAAGAGCAAGAGTATCGGCAAAGTCAAATATTAAAACATGGAATAATGCACGGGGCGAGGGTAGATTATTTTCAATTGATTTAATTGATGAATCTGGAGAAATAAAATGTACTGGATTTAATGATCAAGTTCATTCATTTTACGATCAATTTGAAGTATGTTTATTTTACAAATAAATTCAATTTGATTTCCTTTTTTTTTTTTTATTTTTAATTAAAATAGTTGAGTTAAAAATTCTTTTATAAAATAAAACAAATTTTTTTTTTTTCAGGTTGGATGCATTTATTATATTACCAAATGTCAAGTAAAACCCGCAAATAAAAGATTTACAACCATAAAACATGAATTTGAACTTGTTTTAAATGCAGATACTGCCACTATGAAATATGAAGGAGATGATTTACATATTCCAATGATTCAATTTGATTTTTCTCCCATCAGTGATATTCAATACAGAGAAAGTGGCATTGCTATCGGTAAATATGTTTACAATTTTTAAATAAATTTATATAATTAAAAAAATGTCTAAATATTATTGTAATAATATAAAAAAAATAGTTTAATAAATATATATTTTATAGATATTCTCGCAATTATAAAAACAGTTGGAGAAGTTATACGATTTAAATCGAAAAAAACGGGAGCAGATTTAATGAAACGGGATATTCTTTTGGTTGATGATAGCAACACTATGGTAAGCATAAAATAGAATAGAAATAAAAAAAATTAGAATAGAAATTTTAAACAATTTCTTTTTTTTTTCAGATAACGTTAACATTATGGGATACACAAGCTGATGAGTTCAATGAAATAGAAGGCACGGCATTGGCAATTAAAGCCGTAGCCATAAAAGATTATAATGGAGGCAAATTTCTTTCAACTACTTCGACAACAATTATTCAAGCTAATCCAGCTATTTCTGAGATTGAAAGGTTTGAAAATCAAGATAAATAATTAAAAAAGAAACATAGAAAGAAAAGAAAATAATAATTTCTATATTTTAGAATACAAACATGGTTCAATGAAACTGAACGCGCTAAAAATGCCAAAATGCTTTCAACCACATCTACAAGTTTAAGCTCTAATTTTCCTTGGTTAAATTTTAAACAAGTTGAAGAACAAAATATTGGAGTAATTGGAACTGATAATATATTTTTAACTAAAGCCACTATTGGATCTATGAAACATTATAATGCTTTATATAAAGCTTGTCCCACAGAAGGTTGTAACAAAAAGGTGATATAATTTACAATATTTGTATATATATATAGTTTTATAATAACAAAAATTATTAATTTTTTCATTATTTAAAAATCTATTTTACCGACAGCTTTTGGATCCGATTAATTGTATGTATCGATGTGTAAAATGTAATGCAGATTTTCCAAATTTTACATACAGAATGATTTGTCAGGTAATTTTTACTTTATCATTAAAATAAATAAAATATTTTTTAAATATAAGAGATTTTTTTATATGTAAAATTTTAATATTTTTTTTAGGCAACGTTACTTGATTACAATCAGGAATTAAAAGTAACTATTTTTCATAATGAAGTCGAACAAATTCTAAATAAAAGCGCTCAAGAAATTGGAAATATTTATGAAAATTTCTCAACTGATATTTATGAAAATATATTTCATAGTTGTCAATTTAAGAGTTTTATATTTAAAATTCTAATGAAACAGGAACACTTTAATGTATGTAATTTGATTTTTTATATTTTCTTTTTTAAGGGTATAAAATCAAAATTAATATTTTTTTTTTTTACAGAATATATCGAGAGTAAAAGCTGTTGTATTAAGTGTTTCACCAATAAATTTATCAGAATATAGTTCACGTTTGATGAAGGAAATTAAAAAAATTATGGAAAAACCATCAACTTGAAGAGGATTGCTCCAAAAATATATTTTGATAATAATATTGACTGAACGAATAAGGTTATAGAGATACCTAAAATTTTCTTGTGATGCGTGTTATTTTTATAATTAAATAACAAAAATATTTTTCTATATATTTTCAACTATTAGTAGTATGAAAATTAAATAATATTAAGTAAAATGAAATATGTATTCTTTATTTGAATTATTCTAAATATGCCTTTTTTTAAAAAAAATTTTATTAAGACAAAAAATTCATGACATTGCATGAAATAACATTAAGTTCTCAGAATTGTAAGTACTTTAAAAAATATTTAAAGTTTATATGAAATGTGTATAAAAAAATTAAATCATGTTACTGTAAAGATTAATAAAATATTTAGTTTCGATTTTTGAAATAAATTTTTTTATTAATTTTCTAACATTAAATCCTTTAATTTAGATTAATCTTGTTTCTGTTATTTTTTTTTTGTTCGCATTGAGGGTAAAAAAAAAACAAAACTATTTTTTAGCGATTTAAGATAAATTTAATTTTTAAGCATAGCAGACCAAAGTAAAATATATTTTACAACCAAAATATTCACGCAATAACGTTTTAACATAAAATCAGAAGAAATAATAGACTATTTTTTTCTTCTTTACTGTCGTTCAATAAATGTCTAAATAGATAATCATATTTTTTAAAAGAAAAGAATTTTAATGCATAAAGAAGCTGCGCAATGTATTTTCTAAAACACAATGTCTATTTAAGATGCACGTGCCATTCCAGTTGCGAACAATACAGTTGGTTTATTTTTCTTTTTCTTCTTCTTTCCACCACTTGTATTTTCCTCAGATTTGTCCACAGCTAAATAAAAAGCATTAATTACAATTATATATTTAAATCTAAAAATATAAGATTAGAAAAAAATTCCAAATAAATAAATTTATTTAAATACCTGATTCCACTAAACTAGATTGTTCCAATGCTTGGGCAAGTGCATCGCCAAAAGTCGGATTAAAATTACGTAGGGAAACATATCCTTCTTCGTCAATTTGTTGAACAGGTGTTATTTCAGGAGGAGGAGGAGGAGGATTTGATCGTGTTTTTATTGATGGCCAAGCATTGCCAGAACGATGTCCATTTTGACGAAGCATTTGAGCGAATGATGGTCCAGAATCGATATTATTTGACGGCCAAACAATAGATTCATCAATTGCAGATACCTCCTCAAATGTACTCAACGATGGACTACTTGCTAAACTTGACGTTGCTGTTGATTCCGAAGGCGTTGGTATTGAAATTCTACAACAAAAATTAATTATTAAAATAAAAAAAATTTAATACATCATCTTTTAGAATTTAGAAAAAAATACATTAATAATTATAAATTAATCACACACTCATTTTGTAATGAAGAATAATCAGGTTGCCATTGTGGAAAATGACGACGTGATTCAATATGAACTTTTCTTGTTGGAAATTTTCCCATACGCTTATTTTCCTCTTCGTTTATTTTCTTTTCTCTCTTTCGTTCCTCACGTTCTTTGCGTTGTCTTTTTCTCTGTCGCGTTTCCAATTGTTCTACAAACAATTTTTTCTTTTCTCAATAACACAATTCTAATTATTATTAATTAAAATGAAATAAATAAAAAAAATGCAATTAAAAGAAAAGGAAGATGAATTTACCATGAAATTGTTGAAGGACATTTTGCGAAACAAGAGGTGGCAATAGTTCAATTTCAGCAATTTCAAATTGACATGTTAGTGGTAAATGGCATAAATAACGAAGACGACGTCTCAAATCTTCAGTTAAACTTCCTTCTTCTTTCTCTAAAAGTTTTCCCATAATTGTTCTTGGACAATGTTCCAAACTGCCGTATTCCATTTCCAACATTTTTGCATTCATCGCATGAAGATAAACATGTTGTCCGTTTTCAGCTGAAATTGCAATTTTTAATTAAAAATTGTTTCCTTTTTTTTTTAATTTTAAAATTTTAAAATATACCTTGATAAAAATAAAAGAATTTTTGCGCATTAAAAGAAGTGAGCAAATCATTGACATGATTTTCCATTTGCTTAGGTGGTTGTACATTTGTATGATCAGAGACATTTTTCGAAGTCATTAATTCATATTCTTCTCCATCCCACCACGATTTAACAACTTCAAATTGCGCCTCATTATCATTCTTCATTTCGGCAATTCCTTCATTTAACTCATTATTATCATCGTCGTTTTTATTAATTTCAATATTATTATCTGCTATTGTTTCGTGAACAATTTCGGTTTTTGGCACCTCCTGGCATTTATCAACGTTTTCCTTTTTTAATTCCACACTCGCTTGACCAATCAAATTGGGTCCCTAATTTTTAGAATTAAACATTATATTAATATTAAAAAAAAAATATATATTAAAAATATAGACATAAATATTATTTAATAAAATGTTACCATTAAAAGTTCACGCTCTCGAATTTCTAATTCATTGAGAGCTTGATCGATAAAACAATTTTCGGGACAGTGAGGATCTTCTTGTAATTCAAGTTTTAGCTGAACTTTCTCGCATTCAATTATATCAATAATCTAAAAATTATGTTATTATGTTATTACATAAGCAATAAATATTTTTGTTTCTAAATAATTTTAAATATAAAAATAAAATTTATTATTTTAATTTCCTTACGTTTTCAACATTAGCCAGAAGTAATTTAGAATAAACTTGGCAGTGGGAATTATCAGAGACTGAGAAAAAAGCAGTGGGTGCTGGTATTTCTTTTTCCGGTACTGATGTTGCAATTAATGAACCTCTCTCTCGACGCATTAAACGTAATTTCACATTATCCCCAACGTTCATTAAATTCTGTTCAATTTCAACAACACTGCAAAAACAAAAGTGATAAAAAAAATTAATTTCAAAATTGAATTAAAATTAATATTTAATAATTAATTTGATTAAAAATTAATAATTTATTATTATTAAAAGTAATAAATAATTTCTCAGAAATAATAATGTAATTTTACTTACAATGAAAAATATTTATGTAAAATTACCTCTTCAAATCGGATTTGTGAATTGACTCATAACAAATGGGACATTTGCGCCATGTTTTATCAGACAATGCCAAATAATGTAAAATGCAAGCCCAACAATAAACGTGTCCACATCTTGTCATTTTTCCAGCAATGGGCGAACACAAACAAATTGGACACGACAATTTGTCAGAAGTATGTAATCTCTAAATTAAAAAAAAAAAAAAAGTTTTAGAATTTTAATTTAACAAATTTCATTTAATAAAAATATACTTACAATCTGCTCAATGAATTTCCATTCAACTAAAATATCAGGATCGGCTAAATTTGCAGTATAATCTGCATTTGCATTCACAATAAATTGACAACTGTAATGAAAAGAATTAAAAATTTTCCCTCTAAATGAAAAATTCAATTTATTATAAATAATATTGCATACTTTGCTTGCAAAAATTGTTCCTTATTGTATTTGTGTCGTTGAACAGGTGGAAGCCAACGATTGCTATTATGATTATAATTCAATGTTCTTCTTCTATTCCATGTATTGGATCCATTCCGCATGTCGCGTGGAGCATAATGAAAATTTAGCAGATGATTTAAATTCTGCTTTTTACTTCCTTGATTCATTACTGAGCCTGGCTCAGCCAACTCTTCAACTACCTGCAATTATTGAGGGCGAAAAAAAAATTATAATCCACAAATAGTAGCCAAAAAAAAATCTATTTAAAAATTTAAAACACACCTTGGAATCCTCCTTTGAACTGCCATTATAATATCCTTTAGATTTTGGTCTCTTATCAAAACTTTTTCCTTTCTGTGCAAAGGATTTCCTAGGCTGATCATATTTTGAAAAGTTACTTGCACCAACTGGTTCACGTTTACGTGAAGATTTTGGAAATGGTCTGCTACTAACAATATCGACTAAAAAAAAAACACACACAAACAAATTATCACTAATTAATAAATAACATTTTTATAAAACATGAACAATTACATCAAATTTTTTTCCAATTTTTAATATCACGAATTAAAAATATTACAAAATATTATGAAATAAAGTTTTAGTAAGAATAATAATTATTCTTTCAACAGAGAACAAATTCCAAGTCACGTGTTTATAATTTGCTTAATTAGTTCCGTCACAAGGTCATATTTCAATTTTAATGAAAAAAGAAACAGTAATATCAAAGTGACGTTCTAAATAATATTTTTAGAAAGAGAATATTACCTTCGTCAATACTAAAACTTAAAGAATGAGAAATTTCCATGAAAAAAAAATTTCCTACCATCGGCAAATAAAAATTACAAACAAAAACAGTACCAAATTTTTTGAATATACTGTTTTTTTTTTTTTTTTTAATAACATTAAATTGAAAAATAAAACGATAAAATGACGCGATAGAAATCGACGCGGAAAAGTCGTGACTCACCTTGATTTTTTTTGACATCATTTCCCGTCCCTTTGGACGTGGATTGCGGGAATTTCGACTTTTTTTCCATTATAAAGACGGCAAATGCCGTTAAAAATGTTTGCGATGATTGAGATATTATCTCCTCCGTATGGAGAAACAATTTTTTGCTGCAAACCCTTCATCTTTTCAATAAGCCATGTTCGTCAGTTCCAAAGTAAAAAAAACCTTCAAGAAGGTAATTTGTATGGACAAAATTGAGATAATTAAGACTTTAAGAAAAACGTAAAACACTTATTTTGGGAGAGATTGTCTCCCTTTCGCCGTAAACGACGATTTTTGTCGCGTACTACAATTCTCGCGAACTCGTCGCTATAATGGCGACGATGTACAGTGATCTTCAGTGAAAGAATCGGAAATCAAAATAATCATTCATCAAAATTTATTAAAATTTACTAATGGAACATTTTTCTATTTCTTTTGTTTTATTAAATTTTATTATGAATTATTGTAAACAAAACCTCGGGGATATGTATGTATTTAAAATTTTTTTTATATTTCATCATTAGTATAAGTTGATCATTTGAATTGTTGATAGTTTATAAGGACATGTGCTTCCGGTCAATGTTGCCACAACAAATATCAAACATTTTCGCAGGGTGTGCAACATGATGCGATTTTAATGTTTAAAAATCTTTGTAGTTAAATAAATAATACAAAAAGCAAATATTAACAAATTTAATTGAAAAATATAAAATAGAAAAGAAATTTCTTACTGTTTAGCGTTTTTTATTCTTTTAAAATAATTGAAATTCATTATTATTTAAACTATTGTTTTTTTACATTTCATAATATATTTGTACGGTTGGCAAGATTGCAATGTAAATTGACGCATTTCCGCTATGTTGAACTTCCGCTTCTTTTCGTTTCGTCGGAGAAAGCGTAAACACGTGTGCTAAAGATTTTTAGCAATTTATTCAGTGAAATATCCTCTTTTATATAAATAATTTCTTAATTAAACATGTCTTCCAAAGCCGAGCTCGCTTGTGTTTATTCCGCCTTGCTCCTCGTCGATGACGATGTTGCAGTTACTGTAAGTTATATTTCACCTTCATCTGGCGTTTCCAGCATTTTCTTTTTATTTAAATTGTTCAATTAGAAATATTTATATTATTTATTTATCTTTTAATTTAACTTTTAGTTCTTTAAAAGGTTTTCACTTATAGATTTTTAATTTTTTTTTAGAAATTGTCTTTTGTAGATATGCGAGCATGAAAATTGTTTAATTTCGAGGTTATGTTATATCAATATAAGAATAAAATTAGTTGTTTTGCTTGCAAAATAATTGGATAATGTTGATACTTTTCCTTTTTTTCGTTTCTAATTGATTTTGTTAGTTATATACTTAATTTTTTATTTATTCATCGTAAAATTTTTGGCGTTACATGAAATATTGTAAAAGTTCTAATTAATAAAATTTAGTAATATATGATTCGTATTTAATTTTTTTTTTTTAATGTTTAATATCGAGCATTATATTAGAACCAGATGAGTTGAATTTTTTTTTTGCTGATTTGGTGTCGAAATAATGCAAAATCAATAACGTACAGAGCGTAACGCGTAAGATTACTATTTCTTATGCGACAAGTGATGTGCACAATTTTATTTAAATTTTTAATCTATTTTGAAAATGTAGAATTTGTTCTTGATTAAATTATTACAATGAATTAATATTTTGTACAGGGTGAAAAAATTCAAACAATCCTGAAGGCTGCGAACGTTGACGTTGAGCCTTATTGGCCAGGACTCTTCGCAAAAGCTTTGGAAGGCGTTAATGTTAAAGAACTTATCACAAATATTGGCTCTGGAGTCGGAGCTGCTCCAGCTGCGGGAGGTAATTAAATTTCAATTCAGAAAACTAATTAAAAAAAAAAAAATTACAAATTAATATTATCAATTTTTTTTTAAGCTGCTGCTGCACCCGCTGCCGCTGCAGGAGGCGCAGCTGCCGAATCCAAGAAAGAAGAGAAAAAGAAGGAAGAGCCAGAAGAGGAATCCGACGACGATATGGGCTTCGGTAAGAAATTGTTTAATTAAATTTATGAAAAAATTTAAATATTAATTGAATTTAAAAAAAATAATTTAAATTATTCTTTCTAAAGTAAATAATTTCAATTTAATTTTGTTTTTTTCTTACAGGTCTCTTCGATTAGAAGCAGCAATTAAAAAAAAAAATCAATTTATTTTTGTACAGTTCTATTGTGCATTGTAATTATAAAAGTTTCTTATAAATTAAAAAAGATCATAATTTTATGGAAATGAAAGAGAGGACCTTTTTATTAGGTGTAAATATAACAATATTAAACCCAAAACAGTTTTTTGAAAAAGAAAGTTCAACTTTACATATATACAATAAATCTTGCGCATTAGAAAAAGCTACAATTGCAAACTTTTTTTTTTTTTTCTTTTGATTAAAGTTTGACACAACATTAAAATAGAAAGTTTTTTTTTCAAACTAACATACATCGACTAGGAGATACGAAACACACAAATTTTAAAAATTCAGTATTCTATCAAATGATATAAATGTTTTACTTTTTTTAAAAATAAATCTCTGCTTTTCTCTATATATATATAATAGGTAAATAAAATCTTTAATGTATCATTATACATATAATATATACACAATAATCTATGATGAACAAAAAAAAAAAAAAAAAAAAAAAGATAGAAGAAAATTAATTAAATTTTAAGAATCATTGATAATTTACACAACAAAGTGTGTCGAAACAAAAAATATTCAAAAAGATTTTAAAATAACGGAAAAATTTTGTTTAGTAAACTTTTTTTAAAATGAATGGTGCAAATAATACGCAAAGGGAAAATATTTTAAAATACAATAAAAGAAAATTCCTCTACTCATGTATATGACATACTTAAACCTCGTTCGAATGCAACTTCGTTGTCTCCAAATTTAATATTTCCTTCAGCTTCTTGCTCGTGGGAATTTTCTTCATTTGTCGTTGAGGCACTGCTTTCATTGCTAATATCAAGTTCACATGGTTCTGGACTTCTGTTCAATGGCTCCAATCCAATAATTGTACGAACACTGTCCGGTAAATGAGGCGCCACTGATATTAATTGATGATAAATTCCCTCTGCCTTTGAAATTGTCCACGGTAATTCGATGTGTAACGACAAGTCATTTATATGCTGCAAAAAAAAAAGAAAACAAATTTTTTCTCTAAAGTTAAAAATTTAATTAATGTTTATACCTTTAAAATTTCAGTGAATCCATATTGATTTTCCATGAGAATTGTTTTCTCAGTGTCCAAAATTGAGGCACAAAGAAGAAGATGGAAATTTTTACATGGCAAATCAGTCCAAAGTATTTCCCAAAGTTTCATAATATCAATAGCATTAAATTCACGTTTAAACAAAACCAATAGCCATCGAAAACAAAAAAACATATTTCCCGAGTCGTGTTTATCTAAATAATTCGCCAATTGCGGTTCCGTCACTGAGAGTAAATTATGAATTTGACTGAGTTGACATTTCATTCCCGATTGATCCATTTCGAAATTTGTGTACTAATAGGGTAAAAAAAAGAACATTTTTAATTAATTTATCCAACTATAATTTAAAATTATAATATTATACATTACTCACGACTTTGTTCATAAATCCAACGAAACACCAAAAGGCATCGACTTCATTGTCCATAAGACACAAAATTGGACTGAGCAAATCGCTCATACCTTGTACATATCCCAAATCAAAATTGTACATTACGTAGGTCATTAAAATATCGTACAATTGTGCTAAATGAGGATTATTTTCACCCGAGTAATAAACATGTGTTCGATCAGTTCTGTTTACGTCTTTTTCTAGAAAAAAAAAATAATTAAAAAAAAAAAAAGATATTTTTTATAATTCAGTAAACGAACCTATTAAACTTTTACGATCCCGATAATCGGCAAATCGATTTTCCTGAGCTGATGTCATGGATCGCCATTGTAATTTCATTATGAAATATTCATCAGTCTTCTTTTTCTTCAATTCTAATCTCTCTATACTCGTCGAATTCCATGGATAATAATTAAGTAGAAATTTCCAAACTTCATAACGTAAGGATGGCGAAATACCCTTTAATAAAACAACAATTTTTAATTTGCACTAATTTACATAATTTAAAAAAAAAAAAAATTACTCACGCCTCTAAAAATAATTTCTTTAATCGCATCAGAATTTGTAATTCTTCCAGTTGGATCCTTATATTTATCCCATTGTTCCTGAGTCAAAGGAGCACCTAAAGTATTTCAAATTTATTTATTATTGTAAAAATTTATTAATAATTTCAATTAACGCACCTCGAGGACATGGTGGTCTTGGTGGGAGAAGAACTGATGCACTTGAAACGCCAATTACTTCATATTCTTCACCGGAACTTACGGAAACCGATGGCAGAGGCACATCAATTGACAGTGAACGATTTAAAAGATCAGCCACTGTTTCTTCCACTGGTCGTTTCGTATCAGTGTCTTTATATACTGTGAATAAAATTTATTATTAAACACAAATTAAAAACTATATTTAATTTTAAAGCAAAAAAATTTTTAAACCAACTCCAAACATCGGCGAGTTTACTGAAGGCCTCCATTGTTGTTTCATATGGACGATCATGTAAATTACGAACAAATTTCCAAACATAATCCGAAGTATTCTCTTGAAAAAGATCCAATTCAGCGAATGATTTATTAAGAACATTACTCACTTCATCAACGATAATATACATATTGCTATCCATTTTTGATTTGATGAATTTAATAAAACCTTTCAATGATTTCACAAAACTTTCGGCATTTGAAAGTTGAAAAAATGCCACATACGTGGTACCATCTTTTTGCATAAATATTAATTGCTGTCCACTATGATTGATTCGAAATGATTTTAAATCAGAGAATAATATACGAACGGTTCGCGTACGTCCAAGTGAATCTGGACCCTCAGACGATGTTCGCGTACGTCTTGTATGTGAATCGACAAGCGACCATTCTGGATCTTGATCTTGTATTTCCGAAACAATTGATACTTCAATTGGCTTCCATTCAATGCATTTACCAAAACTCTAAATCAATATTTACAAAAATATTATAATTAATTAATAATAAATCAACAAAAAAATTCTTTTTAATCGCATTATCAACAATTTGAATCTTACATATTCGACAATATTCAGAGTTCCTGAACTGTGGACCTCATCTTCTCGTGTATTAGCTCCACGTAAAACCACTCCAGTGTGGATACAAAGTTCCTATTTTTAAAAAAAAGAGTTTATTTCTTAAACTAAAATCCAATTTCAATAACTAAAAAAATATAATTATAATAAATCTAATAATTTTTGTATGTAAATGTAATTATATAATCTAATAATTATCCTTTTCAATGAAAGGCATGATATCCTAATTTTATCCCTAGTGTCAAAAAGAGTTAAGTGGAAATAATAAAACAATATGTTAAATTTTGTCATAAAAATTCCGAAACAATCATAATTTACCGCATGATTCATAAGAGACATTTTTTTTACTTTTTTTATTATCCATGTAATTATCAACGTCCCTTGATTAATTGCCTACAATGCTCCTAATTTCAATTAAAATTATTAACAAACACAGAAAACAAAAATATTTTTATCTATTTATATATTTTTTTAAACTACGCCTCTAAAATGAGATTATATTAAATTACAACACACACAGACACAGACGTACAAATCTTTGTGAATGATGCAAATAATTCGTTCATACGTCATTTTAAATGATTACTCTTGTAAATATAAGAAAAAACATTTGACATATTATTCTTAAAGATAAAAAAACATGGGCTAACCTTTCCCAATTCCGTGGGTTCGAACATCTTTAAACTTTTTTTTCTTCGGATTATTATTTCAATACATTTTCAACTTTTTTTTTTTTGAAATGTTTTATTGTTCTTCGTTAACTTGCACATATAAGAAAATAGAGCACATTCCTCTTGATAGTATGCGTGTTATGTTCACATTGGGTGTTTTCGTCAAATACACTGCGATTTACTGCTAACAGTATTAAGTGGTGCTCAAATGCAGAAAAATAATATATTATTTTTTTTGTCGTTTAACCACTCCGGAATCTTGTTAAGTTCAGGCGAGGTCTCGCGGTGAAACTCGCCGATAGGTGGCTATGTGTCGTAAAGTACGACCTAAAACGTTCGAAATATGAAACCAGGGTTGTGTAATTAGAGTTGCTGACATTTATCTCAAAATGAAAACTATAGATTATTAGGTGGAATTGACAAATGTTCTAACCTCTATTTCCATGAATTGTAAATTTAATGAAATGTTATTGTTACGAATATTAATATGATCATAACTTTCATGCGAAAAAAATTATAATTTGATCTAATTTATAATTTATATAATTTTAAATTTTTCTAATTTTTATTTATCCTAATCTTTATTTAACCTAATTTTTATGAGGTCGAAATATGAAATGTTTTAATGTTGATTTAACCTAAATATAATTTATAATAAAAGTAATTTGACATAATTAGTATTTGTGGTAATGATTTAATGTACGAATCATAAGTTATTGAAATTCGATTAAGTATATAAACTGTATTTTAAATAATAATTTGATGCTATTAAGATTAGTTGAAATACATATTTGACGAAATTTTATTTACTTTAATTTATAATTAATGATTTTAATATTTAGGTTAAAATTAAAATCGAAAATAAAGAAATAATAATTAGAACATATCTTATTTCTAACGAATAAGAAATATGGTAAATGACATTTAGGTTATCTTAGAAATCGGATAAATAAAAATAATGAGAACTTTGTATTTCGTAAAGAAACACATTATATTAAATGACAATTAGGCAAATAATAATTTTGATGAAATAGAAATTTGTCAATTTTAAGAGTAGAGTCTTACAAATTTGACATTTTTTAATTCTGTCATATTATTTCATTCGTGTAAATAGAAATTATGTTAAAATATAATTCCAACAAATTATATTTTGCTTTCAATATGATTCTAACATTTGAAAAATTGATTTCTTTTTAATTCGTATATTAAATCATTACCATAAATACTAATTATGTCAAATTACTTTTATTATAAATTATATTTAGGTTAAATCAACATTATAACATTTCATATTTCGACCTCATGAAAATTATGTTAAATAAAGATTAGGATAAATAAAAATTAAAGAAATTTAAAATTATAGAAATTATAAATTAGATCAAAAAATATAATTTTTTTCGCATAAAAGTTGATCATATATTCCTAACAATAACATTTCGTTCAATTTACAATTCATGGAAATAGAGGTTAGAACATTTGTCAATTCCACACTTGTGAATTCGACCTAATAATCTTTCGCAGTTTTCATTTTGAGATAAATGTCTGCAACTCTTTTTCTACTACTACCCCTCTCTGACAAGGACAGTCACCTCAAAAAACTACAGATGGTTGTAAATCTCCAAATGTAAAATAGCTGTCAAAAATCGATGAAAACGTGAGGATTATTTATTTCAATTTTCATTTTTTTTTTAAAGAATATGCAGTGAAAATGAATTTTTTTTTTAAATATCAGTGAATAATGTGATTTTTGTTGGGGGTAAAAATAATGTTCGTGTAGATGAAAACCGGTTCACAGATATCAAAAATCTTTAAGCTAAAATACTTCTTTTTAAATTAAAAAAAAACTATTAGAAAAAACTCTTTTAAAATAGTTTTTAAATTAATACTTTAATATTTAAGTTAGTTACAATTGTCAATTTAAAGAAGAATAATGTCTATATGGCCGAAAGATAAATGCATTTTGTTTGTGTCCACGTTTCATAGAATATGCATCTTAACTAACCTCATTTCTTCGTGACCTCCTTTGTCTCACACAGAGAATCCGGCTTATTGAATCATATTTTAATATGATTTATTTTTGTTTAAATAAATAAGACATTTTTTTTGTCTCAATTTTTCTAAATTTTCAATAATCATTGAAAATAATGAACATTTAAACTTTATTCTCATGTGAAATAATTCTTATATATATATACATATATATATCGATCCTAGTTTGAACTATATTGCATTTTATTGTGAAAAGAAAGCATTATTTTTTCGAAAAAAAAAAAAAAATGACAGCTGTTAATAATTGGGAAAATACATGCAGACTTTGTTCTGAAGTGAAGACTGAAATGCTCCCAATTTTTGGTATTGAAGGCATACAACGAAAAGTAGCTCAGAAATTACGAGCTTGTTTGCCTGTTCTCGTTTACAAGACTGATCCTTTGCCGAAGCAAATTTGCCAATTTTGCGCCGCAAGGCTCGATGATGCTTTTGAATTTCGTGAATATTGCTTAAATGTTTATAAAACAATGCACACTAAACTTTTGGTACTTAAAAATTTGGAGTCTGTACAAATTTTTCTTAATGCCATGCAAAATTCACCAGATCCTTGTCAGGTAAGTTTAAAAATTTCACATAACTTTCTAAATTAATTATTAAATTAATTGACAAATGTGTCTTAGGAAAAAAAATTTCCTGATTTATTATTAAAAAGATATTTATGTTTATTATTTTTAAAAAAAAAGAACTACATTGATATCAAAAATATTTTAGGTACAATTGTGTAAAGAAAAATGTCGAGCACCACCACCTCCTTTAGTTCCATTACCAGCAACACTGCCAATAGAAAGTACAACTCCTTTAATTAATGCATCTGAATTATTACAATTGAATCACAATACAAGGGAACCACTTCCTGAATTGCCGTGCGAAGTGCAAATTAAAGAAGAACCTTTAGATACATTACATCGAAATGATTCTGATTTATTGGATATAAATAAAAGAAGTTTATTAATCTCAGGAATGGGAAAAAGAACAAATATTTTTACAAATGATTATGAAAAATCATATGATGATGATGATGTCAATGATGATGATGATGATGATAATAATGAGGAAAATATTGATGAAAACGATAAACCACGAACAAGTATATTGGAACAAGTACTCAAAGGCAATATAACATTAAGTGATCGTAAAGAATTAAAAACAAAATCAGGACTTAGCTCTAAATGGTGGTGTGCGCCTTGTAATAATTATTATAGGTATTTTATTTTCTTATTTTTCTTATTTTAATTGTAATTATATTTTAAAAATATATTATTTTTTTCAATTTAGAACAAAGGAGGGTTTGATAAAACATATGCAAGTGTTTTGCCCGCGAAGATACACATGCAGAAAGTGTTCTCGTGTTTTTTACACTGTTGAGGATTTAGCAAAACACGATGGCACTGATCATTTAAAAATTACATTAGATTTCGATGAAATAGTTACCAAATGCCATCAATGTGATCGTGAATTTGTTAGTTGGGAAATGCTCAGGCATCACAGACTTCGTGATCATGTTGCCGAAGATATTGACGTTGGAACAAGTACATGGTGTCCACCTTGTAATAGGTAATTTGTTGAATTTTTTTTATTTTTAATTTCAATTTGTTACTATATAAAATTTAAATTTATTATTATAGATTTTTTCCTACAATGGAAACTTATCAAAATCATATACAATTACATCAATTGGATACAATGACAAGGCTACCAATAAGTTCATTACCTTCAGTTTCACAAGAAAATCATACACGAGAAATTAGAAAAGAAAATTTTAACGATAGCGTTAAATCATTAGCTTGTCCCACATGCGGCAAGGTAAATAGAATTTTTTTTTTAAAAAAATAATTCTATCTGTAATTCCTGGAATATATTAAAATAATAATATTAACAATGAGGTATATTTTGTTTTCAAATATTTAGGTTTGTACACAGCAAAGTGCATTGTCAAATCATATGCGAACGCACGAGCCAAAGAAACATCAATGCGATATTTGTGGAAGATTTTTTGGTCTCTACATAAGACTCGCAACGCACAAGATGACTGAACATAATCAGGGAATGATGCCTGCAATGACAAGTGTCGAACAGGAGGAAGCATTAAATGCCGAAAGAGAGGCAAGAGAAGCTAGAGAAGCTAGATCACGTGGTAAAACAAGATCTTACGATGAGGTAATCTTTTTTTTCCCCCTCGAAATTCTGAATTTCTCCTTCTATGCCAGAAAGAAAAAAAAATCAATATTAAATTCTCCTTTTTTAATTGACAGATTATGATTGAAGAAAATGACTGTTCAATAAATGATAGACCAGTGAAACGAAAAGTTGTTCTTAATTCAAGCACGATTAAAAATGCTGTACGTTGTGGTATTTGTTTGCAATGGTTTAATAACCGCACAGAAATGATTGTTCATTTACAAACGCACTCTGATTCTTATAAACCTAAAAGCTTTTGCTGTAAAATGTGTACAAAATCTTTTAAAGAAAAGTGGCAATTAACTAGGCATGAAGTAAGGCTGTTTTTTTTAAATTATTATTTTTATTAACATTATTTTATTATTATTTTTATTATTATTAGTAAAAGTATGACTGAATAAAAAACCAAAATCTAACTATTTTTTCTTTTTTTTATGAGAAAATATAAATTTTCTTTCTTTTTACAGGCTTCTCATAATCGTACAACTATTACAACTTACACATGTACAGTTTGTAATGAAGTATTTACAGACAAGTCATCATATAAAACTCATCAGGCGAAACATTCAATTGAAAAAACTTTTCACTGTGCAAAATGTAATAAAATTTTCTTTAAAGAATTTTCATTAATGACACATCAGTGTAATGTGAAACCATTATTTAATAAGAAAAATACAATTCCAAAGAATTTGCAAAGAAGTAATAATTCTGCCTTATTTGGTGGTTCTAAAAAATATAAATGCTCGAAATGTAGTGCAACATTTACCAATTCACAATCGAGAAATTCTCATATGAGAGTACATTCAGAAGCTCATCTTATGGTAAAAATTTCAATAATTGTTTATCAAATTTTTTTTCCTACTTTATAAAAAAAAAAAAAATTTCTAATTGTAAATAATTATTTTTGAACAAAATATTTTATAGAATCAAGTTCGTAAGGCAGCTTTGAAAAAAGAAGCAGGAAAAATGCCAAAATTAAGACCAGAAACCGGCGCTTGTACTTCTGTGCCTCGTATCGAACAAAATACAGAGGCCGTTGATGTTAATCCACCGGCACCAGTTAAAAGGACTCTCATTAAAACAGCTGGCGGGTGAGTTATTTAAAAAAAAATTGTCTTCACATCTTTTTAATAATTTTATGATTCTCTCTTAAATTTTCTTTTAAATTTTCATTTAACTAAAAGTTTGCATTCATTGAAATCGAACAAAAAAAAATATTACAATTATTTTTGCAGATATCGTTGCGGTGTGTGTCAATCACCGTTCGTACTACGTGAATTAGCTGTTGCACATCTTCGTTCTGCTCATCCATTAATGCCATATCAGTGTCCTTATTGTAAAAAACGCTTCACAACACAGTACACGTTTACTCATCACATAAAAGCAGATCATCCCGATGAATCGGAAAATTGAAATATAATTTAATAGTGTCACGTGCACTTTTTATTCTAATAATATAAATAAATATGGCCTTACAACGCTTTTCTATCGTTAATATCGATAAAAGCAAATTCTTAAGACCGGTAAATGTAAATAAATAATGAAGAAAATAAATCATCGGTCATTCAATTTATATAATGTTCCTAAGAGAATTGAATTTTACTGGAAAATGCAGGTAAACAGAATATATATGTATTCATTTATTTACTATAGCCACAAGTCATCATTGTAAATTTAATTTTACAATATTAATAATTTTTTTATATTCAAATGTAAATAATTTTTATTTCAAATATAATTATTATTTACATTTCAATAATAGATTATAATAATTAATTTCTCCAATCATTAACTATAAAAACTTCAAGACTAAATTAAAATTTTCCAATATTTTTAAAGATAAAGGAATGATTTTCGAAAAAAAAATGCTAGAAATTCAACTTTGAATAATTTATATGAAAGTAATACTAATTTGTATTAAAGCAGGAATTTGTTAGTGTAAATTTAATTTAGTTAATAAAATATTAAATTTTAATTTAATTATACAAAAAATCGAGTTACCAATATATATATATATTTTTTTTAAATTTTAATTTGGATTAATAATTTTCAGTAAAATTACTAATACATAGCGATAATAATTACTAAAGAATATTAATAAGTAATTTTCAAGTTTAATAATATATATATATATATATATATTTACAGTAAAACTAGAAAAAAAATATTAAAATTTGTTATTCAAATTAATAAAAAAGTATTAAATTCCTGATATTTCTTATCACGATATTTTGTCTCTGGTTTATATTAGTTATTACTTTACAATAATATTTGTATTAATTGAATCATTTTTTTATCAATATAGCATGTTATATAATGAATTTAAATTCAATTTATTGAAATCTCTTTCAGAGGAAAAATCAGTTCTATATTTTTCTATTTATTTATGAAAAAAAAATCAATATTTCAAGGAAAAATCAGGGATTTATAGAACTTTCTTATTCAATAAATTATGTTTTATATAAATATAAATGCATGTAGAATAATACAGGCTTCACAGTAAGAATAACATTTTAAAAATAAACAAAAGTAAATTTTTAAGGAAATAAGTAATGAGTGATAAAAAAATATAAAATAATTTCCATTTTGGATTTTTAAACATGAGTTTTATTATTTTCTACAATCTAGGCATGCAACATTTAAATTAAAAATAGTGAAAAAAAATTGGTAAATATAAAGTTTTTTTTCATACGAGATTAATTTTCTTAAAACAAAAATATATGATCAGGAAAATAGACTGTGAATCCTGCATAATATTTTTTTTTATTTATTTTAAGCATAATTTTATTAGTCATAAACATTTAAAAGTTTAATTAAACAATTTTTATTTTAGTTTTTAATATTCATAAAATTTATTTACGATAACAATAAAATATTAACAGTTAAATATTATAATAGTAACCAAAAACTTGTGCTATTAAGAGAAAAAAAATATGTTATATTTAATTTTAGTCCTGTTGTTTTTACGGTCAGTGATTAAATTATTTATAATATGTATATTATTATAATTGTAAAAATGTCTATATAATTATTGCAAAAATTCAAAAATTTTGTAGTAAAAGAAAAAGTCAGATTTTTTTATATAATATGAAAAATTATTTTTCTTTTTTCATGAGATCATAATAAATTTTATGTTTAAAATGAATGTTTCTGTCGAATACACAGTGTCTTATATGTCTTCAGCTGTTACATATTGTAGATTTAATATTTATAAAAAAAAAAAATAATAATAATATTGCCTGATAAAAGTATATTTTCTTACATAATCTTTGACTGACTTCTATATATATATAATTATATATTCTTCCAAAATGTATTTGAAAAAAATGTGTCTTTGTTAATTATGTCAAAAACACTTTATTGTATTATAAAATGAAGCACTATAACAAAACTTCGAATAAAAAATATCATTCTGTTTACTAAATTTAAAAAAAAAAAACGTGTTTATCGATAATAATTTTATGAAACGTAGCTTAATGTAAATTATAAATATAAGTGTCAAAAAGCTTATTTGAATTTTATTATACATATACTAATTATATTGAATATGTTAAATATTTCAAAAAAAAGTGTTTATATTTCTACATAAAAAATGATTTTAACAAAAAAAAAAAAATTGTAAAAACGATGAGAAAATTCTTTTTTTAAAAAAAAGAATAAACAATATTGTTTTTTATGTATTTATATTTGAAAATTAGAAAATTTCTGATATATTTCAGAATATTTAAATATTTAATTATAAAATTTTTTGCAATTTTTTTTTATTGTTTTATTTTTATTAATAAAAATGTTGACAAAATTTTTGTTATATTTTCGGGCAAAAAAAAAATGAATAGCAAAATTAAACAATAAAACGAAACAATTATAGAATTCTTTTAAAATTCAATACTTATCTTATAAAACTACAAATTTTTCAAAGCTTAATTTTACAATTGTTTTAGCTTTAATGTCGCTTTTATTCGTATAAAAATTCTTTATGTATACATATCAGGTGAATTTTTTTTTTTTTTTTTTTTACTTTACAGTCATCTTCCACCTGTGATAAGCATTTTTGTTTTTCTTAAATAAAAATTTGTTTTAATGTGTCATAAAGAAAATATAGGAATATAACATTTAAATGAAAAATATCTTGTACACATCATAATATATAGTTAATGTAAATTTATGTTAATATGCGTGGATTTGTTACGTGTTAATAGAGAGTATTGTTATTGCATAAGCTCGAAAAATATTATATACGCTACACTCAAATGCCTGTAAATAATGTTTTTGGTTTTGATGTATTTCAGTGATTATTCAGTTTCATTCCATGAGTTTATTGTTAATAATTTGTTTTTACATTATATAAATAAACAACTACAGATGAGATTAGGTAATAAAATTTTATTATCATAATTTGAATTTTATTTATTCCATTGTTAAATTAAATAAAATATTGATATATTATTATTACTATGATTAAATAATTAAATAGAATTTATTGTTTTTATTTTTTTTATAAATCGTTTATTATAAAATGTAAAATACATCTTTCTAGTTTACTCGATAGCAAAGATTATTTATATGATATAAATTATCAAATTTTAAAGGGGACGAGAGCAGAAATGCACTTTATTGAAATATTTTAAATAAGACGATATTAAAAAAAAGGGACAACCAAATTACATTTTTTTTACAATTTCTTTTCTAAATAAATCAAAATATTTCACCTATGTACCAAACTACTCTGGCCCTTACTATAATTAGTAATTAATTTTTTTCGATACATATATTACAATTTTAAAATATAAAAAAGCAAAAATTTCTTTAAAAAGTTAATAAAAAAAACGTTAATATTTTTTATATATATATATATATATACATTTTATGAATATGAAAGAGACTTATAGATTTTTGAAGGCACCGATTTTGTCTTAATTTCTTAATGAAAATTAAATACGACAAATCTTTTCTAGAATTTATCATATTAAAAATTAATTTTTATTAACAGGAACACATTAAATGTGAATTAAATTTTTCTTTTAAATTTATAACATTTTTAAGTAATTTTGAATATTTCTTTTATAATAAAAGTCTATGGGAATAAAAACTAAATGAATATTATGATAAATTCCAGAACGTCATTTTAATTGACACATAGCGTTGGCAGATTCTAAACGTAGATTTTATATTTTCATATTATAATATTTTACAAAGAAACATTGAAGAATTTACAGATAAATGGTAATATTTGTTATATATTAATTAATACAGCAATAAATTCTGGATTTCATATATAAATAAAACAATTTTTTTATGCTTTTTTCTTTTTAAATCAAAATTGCGACAAATCTAATGTATTTTTTAATAATTAAACCATTCATTCTTCTGTTTGATGTATTTTAAAATATCACAACAAAAATGATTATTTCTATATAATGGTAAAAAAGAGGAACATTGAAAAATTGTAAATTTGGAATGACAATTATATTTACACTAAAAACGGATTAAAACCGTTATAGATTTATAGAAGTACAAAAAAAAATATAAAAACTTTATTGTTACATGAAAAATATATATTATATATCTAAATATTATAAAATAATATGTTTAAGTATTTTTTCAAAATAACTGATACTGTTTTATCTCTTTTAAGAATTTTAATTAACACTATAATGATAATTCAAAAAATGATTTTGCGCTTTTTTGAACATTTTTTTTTTCTATCATTCCTTGAAAAAAAATAATATAAACATTAAATAATAATTATAATGCATTGATAAAATATTTTATATTAGCTATTAAATTTTTTACAAAAATAGTTGTAAAAATTATTTCAAGAATAATCCTCTACTTTTGTATCCATATATGCCAGCATAAAGATACAAATTTTAATATTATAAAGACTAGAAAGCTATTTATGGCATAAATTTTCAGAAAAAAATACAATAATTTTTTTTCTTTCAATTACCAAAAAATGTGTCAACTTTTTAAATTAAATCAAGTAATTATTATTAAACCATAAACAATTTCGATATTTAAATTTTAGCAATTTATTAGAAATTAAATTTATCTTGAAAACGAAAATTAAGCTACACATACTCGCACCGTTCAAAACAAAAAAAAAAAAAAAAAAAAAATTTAAGCGATTCCTGAATAATTTCACGATTAAAATGAACGTAGTTTTTCACTTATAAACTAATATTTTCGCTGTTTATTTGAAAATATCCTTCAGACTAGTTTTTGTTTTATTAATTGCACAAAATATCTTTATAATAATAGATCAATACACACGATTAATGTGTATATAAATTTTGTTTTTTTGTAAAATTCAAAAACAGCCATCAATAATAATTTGTAAAAATGAGTTAAGTAAAAAAAAAAAGCATCATTATGTACATTTTACAAAATTATTACACTTTAGATAATGTAAATGAGTTGAACTCAAATATTCATTTATCTCTCTTTCAATAAACATATTAATTGAGGTAATGTTTTTCTTTTGCTTTTCACACTTCACGATAAATTAAATTTTTTTCTCATTCTAAATGAAAATGATTTTTTCTTATGTTATTTAATTTTATTTTAATCGTGTTATTTAAAAAGCTAAGAGATCAACCGTTAGCTATGTATCCGAGACAATTGTTATTGTTGTTGATTTTTCGTCTTCGTTTGTCACAAAAGGGGTAACTACTTGCATATTTACGGAAACACTTAAAGGATAAGTCAATTGTTTATCAAGAATCATTACCTGTTTCTCTTCGTTCTTGTGAAGAGATAGTCTAAGCATTCCTGAGTCTTGCATATGATTAATTTGTCTTTGTTCATTAAGTGATATTAAACGAACCCTGAAAAGTAAATCGTTAAAATTATTTATTTATTTATTTTTTTTTTTTGAAAATAAAATCTCACCTTAATATTATATTATGTAAGCTATGATTGGCCTTGATATGATCTGTATCCAGTCTGTGATTTCTTTTAATTTTAAGTGATGTTGTGTCCAAATATACAACAAGATCTAATCCAAAATGAAAAGCAGTCCATCTCCAAACATGTTCACCAGGTCTGTCTACACATCTGCCACATCGAAAGCACTCTTTTGAGAATTCTTCATCGTTTATTGACTTTGGCCTAAAACAAAAATAATAAATGAAATTTGAAATAGAAATTTTTTAATTTTTGAAGAAAAAAGTTTGAAATATGTAATTTAATACTGAAAGCTAAAATAAAATTATTATTTAAAGAAAAATACAGTTAATCTAATGTCAATTAATCAAGAAAATGTCGTATGATTACGAGATTTAAATCTAAAGTTAATAAATTTATCTATAGTTTGATAAGAACTAGTCCTATAAAATTTTCAGAAATAATAAAAGAAAAAGAAAAACAATAACGTTATTTATATAAATTAATACAAAAATTAATTGTAAATTAAAGAATAAATATTTTTTAAAAGGAAAAAAATAATTTTTCTTACCCTCTATCTTTGTTGGCATCAATTCGCAATAGATGTAGCCATTGTTCTTTGTATGCGTCGTAAAGCCATTCTTGTGGTATTAAATTATCACTATTTAGAATATTTACATCTTGATCGTGTAATAACAAATATTTATATCTTAATGATTTAAATGGAGTGATATAAAATTTTCCATCTTCCGTTCCTAAAAAGGGCTCTGTCCACGAGTGATTTTTGAAGAATTCATCAATTTGCACTGTCTCTTCTTTATTACTAATTTGCACAAATAGCCTTTAAAAAGAAATTTTCATAATAAGAAATTATCAAAAGTCAACAACTTTTAATCAATTAAAGACATTTTTGTAAAAAAAATTAAAACAAAAATAATTTTTGAAATCATGTTTAAAAAATTAAACTTACCAAACTCGAAGCATCATGTAAACGCAAAATTCAGTTTGCATTGCAACCAAACCGGGACTTGAGATTAATTCAGTCATCAATTCAGATGTAATTTCTCGTAAAAAACTTGGATGTAACCATCCATATCCAAGTAAATTGACTTCTAACCATTTTTTTGCCGCTGACTTTACTGGTGAAACACCATAAGAAACCGCAGCATTGTAATAAGGAACAACAGTCTTGATATTTGTCGTCTCGATCATAATTTCTGTGCATTGATCAATTAGACCTTGAAGTTGAAAAAGTGTTGCTGTTGCCAAAATAGAAACTACATCTTTTGGTTCAAGTGTAACTTCATCTTGATAAAATGAACCCAATACCATCTGTAATGCTATTGCAAAATATTTAATATGAGAAAAAAATTCATCATTCTTTTTTAATACAAAAAAAAAAAACCAAACACTAAAAATTTTTCAATAAATTTAAAAAAAAACTAAATGCTACTTTTTTAATTTATTTACAAATATAAAAAGATGATCAAATCTATTTACAATTGAATTTAAATAAATAAAATAACACATTATCAATCAAGATACCAAAAGTTAGATTGATATTTAATTATATCTACAATAATAACTTATATTAAAAATCAATCTGAAATTTTTCTTTTTTTACTTCTTATTTTTAATTTTTTTTTTTAAAGTATGACTATTTTAAATTTGTTTACATCTTAAGGTGTAAGATGTTACCAAATATAGGTATATTTAATGTAGGTCAAAACAGTACAATCTTAGCCATGAAAGATATCTGACCAAAGAGAAACTTTCACTTTAAAGCGTTATCTCTTGTGTGTAAATTAAAAAAAAAAAAAAAAAACAAAAAAATTTCATTATTTTGAAATGAAAATACTGATAAATAAAACTTTAGTTACATACTACGGTTTAGAAAAAAAAAGACAAAAATCAATTTTTTAAGAAAAGAAAAAAGATGTAAATTTGGAATTTAAAAAATTTAAATATAAAAATATTAAGAGTTTAAATAAAATAAAATATAAATTTACTTACAATCTAAAGTGATGTTTGAGTCAGCAATCGGAATCATAATAACTTTTTCATTTGTTTCCCTCCAGGATCCAGAAAACATGCTACAGAAGTACGGGCTCTAAAAACAACAAAATATGTAAACTTATTTTTTTTTTTAAATTAACATAATGAGAATTTTCAATTCGTGTTTAAAGAAACAAAAAGTTATATAATTAATCGTTATTATATTTAATGTTAATACTTTACATCATTTAAATTTTAGATATTTCAAGAAATTACTTGACTGATGTAAACTTTGTGTAATCTCCATGCTCTTCCTAAAATAAGTACAGTGATATCGCTGCCCTTTTCTTCTAAAAACAATGTCTTATATATATATTGTGCTGTTGTTAATAATTTTCTCCTGCAAACAAAAAAAAAAGAGAAAACAATTTTCATTAAATTTGTTTTAATATTTATTCATTTCTATGACATAATTAGAAGAAATAAATAAATTTTTTTCTATGTTTGCAGTTTAATTTTAAAATGGAAATTTAACTTTTTTGAACCTATTAATATGTGTGAGTGTTACGTATATAATAATATATGTGTGCATAGGTTTGTAGGGCATAATATGTGTAATGGATGTTACGAAGGATGGGACGAATGTAACGATGTTGTCATCCCAACAAAAAGCGAAAGTATTTTTGTGCCGCGAATCAAGGTGTAAGAAAATAAATATCATTATAATAAAAAAATTTGTACACTCTCAACTCTTTTATTTAATTTTAAAATAAATTTAATTTCTTCAATATAGAAAAGACAATTCATCTAGCAAATAGGGATGTTATTTAAATATATTTATAATTAAGAGTGAAAAATTGAATATTATTTAAAATATTAAATGTTGTTTTCTTATTATTGGAAATGTGATAATATTAGTAATTATATATTTACTATTAATAATGATAAGGGATTTTTACCTTTTTGGTGTTTGCATTGTTCTGTCAATAAAATCAGATTCCGAATTTAATTCATCTTCTTCAATACATTTTCTTTTACGACCTCGATATACCGAATTCACCGCAATATTTGACATATTAAAAATAAATCTGCTGGCGTAACCTCCCATATTTTTTTTTTTTTGTTACTTTAAATTTCCGATCAGATTGTATTTAATTATTTATCATTTCTTATTTAGTATATATTAATTATTATCATTAGGAAGCAATACTTTGTCAAGATAATATATCGCAGCACAAAAAAAAAAAATCACAAAGCACCTTTCTTTTGAGTGAAAAGATTCACATTTAAATTTCACTTTTGTATGTAGTTATAATCATTGATGATCACATCCCTGATTTAATGGTTTGAACACACCGCAACAGTGAATGTAAACAGACTGAATGAGACTTATTAGAAAAAACTCAAACAGCTGTAGTTGTTATTTTTATATGGGACGTCAATGTTTACTTAACGACCCATACATTCACTTCTTGATTAATAAAATAAAAACATGTCTAAAATCTAGTGTTGAGTAGGTAAAAATCAAGGATAAGGTATAACTTCCGTAATGTGAAACTTTGAAGATGATAAAGCATTTTAGTAAAGAAGAACGTCTGAAATGTGACAATTATTTGAATTGTCCAGTGTCACATTTAAGAAGTTGTATATAGTAAATTGTCCACCGATGCCCTTAATTCGAGAATTTTCGATAATTTCGATTATTGATTCTGCATCTCTTTTTTTTATGAAATTATTTTTTAAAATTAATAATATATTTAAAAAAGCACAAGTTTTAAAGATTTTTAATATTTTATATAGTATTTAAAGGCTTTTTTTTAAAACAATTGACAATAAATAAAAATTACCCTATGGTTACTGTGTTAAGGCCTAAGCAGAATAGAATAATTCGTACAGTTGTGCTCAATTCTTGCAACAAATAACGATTAGTAAACGTAATTATGAAAACTTTCATTTGTATATCCATTGAGAATCACTGAGTAAAATTTGGATAATGTACACGATGGGCACGCCGAAACATCCATTATCAAACAAAGTGAATTTCACTTACATTAAATAAATATAGAATTATTGTTTAACAATGGATATATCCAATGATAAGTTGAAAATAGTCAATGAAAGGTAAGTTACATTAATTTAGATTTCTATATAAACTTTATTTTCTAATTGTCTGTTCATTAAAGATATTTTTCTCATAAAACGCAATATTTATTTATTTTCCAAGTTTAAGGAAATGTTAGTTTTTAAATTACATACATTTTATTAATTTAAATTTTCAACTTTTTTTTTTATCAAATATAAAATTATAGGTTTAATATTTTCTAAGTAAACTTGATTTTATATCTATATTTACAATATTTTTGTAAATATTATTTATATATGTAGATATATATTTTTTGTATTAAAGGACTTTAAGTCCTTTAATTTACAAAAATAAATAATATTCGATTAAATTTTCAAGAATATAAAATTTATTTCAAAAAACTATTTTTATCTTCTTCAATTATTATTTATGTAAAAAAGGTAATTTTTGAAATTTTCAATATTTAAGAAATATAAAATAAAATTGATGTTTCTTTTTTTTTAGTTTTGAGGAAAATAGCCAAGAGAATATTAGTGTTATTTTGGATGAATCACAATTTATAAAATGTATTGATGAAGATGACGATGACGATGATGACAATGAAATAAATGAGAATTTACATGAATACGAGGGCAACATTTATACTAGTGGAGATGTAGACATAGATGAGGAAAAAGAATTATTGCAAATTGATGGAACAGATCCAAATAGACCAATTGAAGTTATGGTACCAAATTCAATATTACATCCCTATCAAGTAATGCACAGTCCTTATGATGGAAAAATTTATGTTATTACTGATAATGACGACTCCTATGCAACTCAAGCAATTCAAATAAATTCTTCCGAAGAATCAGTTTCCAAAAAGGTAAACAAATATTTCTTATATAATTATTTACTATAATAATAATAATAATAATAATAATAATAATAATAATAATAATAATAATAATAATAATAATAATGAAAATTGTTCATTTATTCAAAGAGAGATGACAAAAGAAGAACTACTCATAATGAAGTTGAAAGAAGAAGGAGAGATAAAATAAATACTTGGATTACAATGTTGGGAAAACTTTTACCAAAATATAAAACTAATGCAAATGAAGTTGGTGACAGTAAAAACATTTTTGAATCACAAGTAAGATAAATTTTAATAAAAAAATCTCTAAATATTTTTCATTTATTTAAAATTATAGAATTGATTTCTTAATAAATTATTGAAGAACGTTTTTTTTTTCTTTCTAGAGTAAAGGAGGAATTTTATCGCGTGCCTGTGACTACATAAAAGAATTAAAAGAAACAAATAAAACTCTCGATCGACGAGTTGTCGAAAATAAGCATCTTTTGCAAGAAGTACAAAATCTCCGTCAAATTATTGCTCAATTAAAAAAAGAAAATTCTTACTTAAAGAGCAAAATTTCCGAAGCTGATGAGAAAACGGGTACTTAATGTTTGAAAAAAAGAAAAAAAAAAAAAAAAAATTGTTATGTTATTGCTTTTACGAATATAAAATTCACAAGCTGTCAATTATATTTATTTTGAACGTTCAATTGAATGATTTTTCAATATTGTAAAAATTTATTCACATTTTTGTTGGTTTTTTATTTTATTTTACATTACATTAAAAAATGCATTTACTTTTGTAATAAAATAATTACTAATATTAATTTTAAATAGTAAACTAAACAATGAATGTAAGTAAAAGAAAAATGAAATATATAATACTGAAAATAGATAAATTTAGTTTAATAAACAAAATTTCGTTCATTTAAACGTTCAAAATTTCAAGTATATACTCTCTCTTTCACTGTTTGTATGAATTAAAAGTATTCTTGTGTTAATTAGAAATAAATGTATTTTATAATACACAATTTTACTATCGATTCATTGAATAATTAAAAAGTTAAATGAAAATTAGTGATATTTAAAAATAATTCAATTTAAATCGTTCAATTAAAAAAAATAGACATTAAGAATATAGAGAAAAAAATATAATAAAAAAAAATTGCATTTCACTTTAAGAGAAATTAATTTATAAAATTTTAATTAGATGATTTTTGATGCCTTATTGTAAATTTAACTTAAAAATAAAAAGAAGAAAGGGATCTGAGAAAAAAATTAAATAATGTATCTTATACATTATAAAATGTTTATTTACACAGATTCAACTTAATATATATATATATATATATATATATATTTTTAGATATATTTCTTCATAATAGAAACAATTTCAATAATTCTAAAACTCGAACTGTACATAATATTGTAAACAAAATAATTGTCTATAAATCGAACGAACAAATCGTTATTATATATTAGGCTCGAATACGAGACGTGAAAATGAAATTTAATTATAAATATACAAATATATAACTTAGGAAGATTTTTTTCTTATTTTTTTTTTTTTAGAATGTTTCATTCGCCTTCTGTTATTTACAAACTGTAAAGTACAACTTTATTTACAATTGTTTTAATAAAAACTTAGAATTTCTGGAGATAAATCACTAACGATATTTTTTTTTTTTCTTTTTCAAACAATTAAACAATACATTTTAACAGTTTGTCTCTCTCGGGCCTTTAAAAATCTCGCAAGAACTTTAAAAATAGATACACAACAATTCTACTATTACAATTTTTATCATTGTTTTTTTTTTTCATTGCTAGGAATAATATTTTTTTTTCCAAAGCAGTATTTTTTATAATGCAATTTTCTAATGACTTTTTTCCTCTATAGTTTTATATTTTTTTTTTTTACACAGTGCAGATGATGATACGATGTATAGAAAAAACAGTATGACAATATGAGAAGCTAATTCTTCAAAAATGGATGATTTTGCTAAGTCGCAAAAAATTTTTTTTTCTTATATTTTAATACAAACTACTGATTATAACTTTGTATTTTAATGGCTACCTAAGCAACCTATGGAAGTTAAGGATTATAATTTTCTTTTTTATTTTCTAAGTATGAAATTGTGCAGTACGTTTAACGATTATGTTACTTTTTTTTCGGTAACATTTGTTTATATGTCCATCGTATCACGTATTTTACATTGGCCTCAAAGTCATCGTTGCAATTGAACTCACTTCTGACAATATTTTAAAAAAACATCCTCCATTAACAATTCTTTAACTCCTCGATTCGATATATATATAAAAAAAAAATAAATCTCCATTGAGATTTAACAAATTGAAACGAGTAAATTGCGTAATTTTCAACTTAAAAAAATTTCACGCACTTATTTTGGAAGAAAATTTGAATGTTTATTTTTTTTTTTATTTTTAAAAAATCTATAATGAAATTGTTTTATATAAAAATAACTTTAAGCCAAGAGGTATTCCAACGACAAATACATTTTTTTTTTCTTACTCTAATCCATCAAACTGGTTATATTGTGTACATTATATTTATAGGAATTTATATTCCTTCTCAATATATTGTCTTTGTCATGATAAAATTAATTTTTGAAATCAAAAACTCGAAAAAATAAATTTATAAATTAATTTAATTTTTCACTTTAATTCATGAATTTTTAAGTCAAAAAAAAAAATTAATTTGGAGTTAAATCTTTATTTAAAAATGATATTTCCCATTTGTGATTATTATTTTGAGATAATTTTTAAGAAAAACAAATTTAATGTTCAATAAATATGAATTTTTTTCAAAATAAAAAACCACTTTTCTCAACGTGTTAAGCATGTATCTTAAATCGCTCGTATTATCATTACTTCTGTATATATGAAAAAAAATCACAATATTTACATTTCCATTATAGTTTAATTCAAATATTTGACAAATTATTTTGTCAAAAAAAAAAAAAACAAAACAAAAACCTTGTTACAAGAAAATGAAATTTTATCAAAAAGATAGAAAATTCGTACAACTCAAATTTTCCTCAACACTCGTTCAACTTTCTACAAAAGTTTTTTTTTCGAATCATTATTCGATACTTTTTTTTTCTTTGGATATCAACAATAATTTATTTTTCTCCTCTAAATTCTGTGCATTTAAACTTTCTCTCTATTTCGAAAAAGGTGCTTTTAATAGAGTGACCGTGAAAAATTAATTTTCGAATATTAATTATGTCACTTTTCATCAACACGAAACAAAAATTTGGTTAATTTATTAAATTATTAATATCTAAAACTTTGGAACTTTTTTCAATGATGAACAAGGTGACAATAAAAAAAAAAATTCGAAAATAATTTTCCATGTTTCTTTTTTAAGATTAGAATGGAATTTTCTTTTCTCATTTTAATTCAATGATATGAATGATTTTATATATCGTTAAAATTTTTTCCAGATAACACTAAGCAACTATTCTTGCATTTTTTCTTGCAAATCACTTATAAGAAGCAAATATTATTTTGCCTTCAGTCTTTTTTAAAAAAAACTTAACAATCAATGGCACTTGGTACCAATATGAAAAGTAAGTACGTCATTATCTTTTGTTTTTTTTTTTTTTCAAATCACAATATCCAAATCTTCATTTATTTCTGATTTCAATCATCACAAGAGCAAAATTCTCCAAAATAAAGCTTCATATTTTTCTTCTCTTCGTAAGTGAAATATTTTTTTCAAGTTCTGAATTTTTTTTTTTTTTTGTTACTTGCAATTTAAATTACTCTTTAAAAAAAGAAAATTCCCATTTTTCAATCATTGGAATTATAAAAAAAAATTAGTTTAATTAAAACATTTTTTTTTAAATTTATTAAATTCAAATTATTTTATTTAAGAAAAAATGAAAATTCAGAACTTGGGGAATATTTTCTATATTTGCCTCGTGGATTTTAAATATGTTTTAAGTGAAGAAAATTTTCTAAATGCTGTAAAATTATTTCTAAGTTAGTTGAACTGCAAAACGAGAAATTTTTAATTCAGTGTTTTTTTTTTTTTGGTAAGGAAACTTTACTACTATTACTACTACTAGAAAACGGTTTTTTCTATATATATATATCTTTTTTCATTAAAAAGTTCTATTTAAGTAGGCGAATAATATTTAAAGACAAATTTTTCATCTATTATCATATCTAAAGCAGGGACATTATTTATTTTTTAACAATTGTCTAATTTTACTGACAAAAAAATTTTTTTTTTTTTTGATAACTTTGTGGTAAAGTTTGCAGAAATTGATTTTTTTTTTGGAAAGGCAGTGCGACACAATTCGTTGAAGTATATGCATCCTGAGAATTACCATTTTCTTCTGTTCCCACATTTGTAGATCTTGTTTAATTTAAATTAAAAAAAAAAAAATATTTTTCTACATTACCCAAAGGTCCCTTATTTTTTTTCTTTAAACTTTAAATTTTTGTGAGTTCCTGATTCTTTTAAAATTGTTTTTTTTTTCTTTTATGCTACATTTTAAGAAAATAGAGTCTTGTGCGTGATTCGAAAATTGAGACAAAAAAAAAAGAATGAAAAAGCTTCTCCCAAAAAACTTTCACAAACATGTAACAGAACATGTACATATAACAAATGTATATATATAAAACAAGCTGTGCATTTAATGTAAAAGAATAGAAACATTTTCTTTTACAAGAAAGCATCAGTTTTAAATAGGCAAGATTTGGAAATTTTCGATTTTTTTCTTCTTTGTTTATCAGATTCGAATTTTTATATCGAAAAATGAAAATTTATAATATCGTATTTCCAGAGATAAAACAGTTTTTTCTGTTTCTCTCTTTTTTTTGAGATTCTTGAGAAATTGTAAAGTTTCCTGATTAGCGAAACTTTCATAACATGATTTTTATATACAAATGCAAAAATAAGTTTTGCAATATTAAAATTAATTTCACCTTCGTACCATCATTTTAAAGATCAATGTACCGCACGAAGGTTGACCTGGCTCAAGACGGTTGGGGACGTGTAGTTTTTTTACTACTACCAAAAGTGAACCATGTACCAACTTTTCGACCAAGAGAATTAGTTGTACCTGCTTGTAACATCGGCATATCGTAAGATGATTCTCGCTTGTATGCTTTATCTGAGAAAAAGAAAATGTTTTTCGTTAATAAAAACTAATTTTTCAATTTTTTTATTTCAATTTAATTTTATTAATTTTTAATTCAAAATTATTTTAATTAACAAAAAACAAATTTTCTATTCAAATTTCATTTTTAATTTACTTTCAATTGAGAAAAAAAAAATGATTTCAACAAAATTTTTTTTTAAATTTAGTAATAATTAAATTGCTTACTTCTTGGCTTCGATGGTGGTCTGCAACGTTGTCTACTTGCTGCGAGTTTAGCTACTTGTCGCGCGGCAGATGGAAATTCTAATCCATCATTTCTATCTTGAGCCACGAGTCGTCTTTCAGCAGACATTGCAGCCAACCACTGTCGTTTTTCATCTGATGTACGACAACAAAATAGAAGCCATTTATCCCTTACGCAACTATAAATTTTCAAACAATGTCTCACTGTAACACCCAACTGATGATCTGCAATTTACAAAATTTAATTATTAAAAAAATTTATATAATAAATAGAATTAAAAATAAAACCGAAATTGAAAAAAAAAATTGTTCGTATGTTATCGTTGAATACCTTTTCCATCGGGCACATCAATCACTTCACTAGTGTCAAGATAAAAGCGGCCCTTATAAACATATGTATTTCTTTTGAGAAGGTCCTTTTTACAATAGACCAATTGATGATCAAATAGAAATAAAACAATGTTACTCGTCCACATTCCTGTCGTTACTCTCATTGCTTCCCCCTGATAAATCAATTGCGAAGAAACTTCTATCAGGTCTTCACCCTAATAGAAAAAAGAATTAAACTAAAATTTAAAAAAATAAATTTCAACTTAGAATTTTAATTTATCAGAAAAAAAACATTCAAATTAAAAATAAATTTAATTGATAATTATTTTTTTTTCAAATACCTCCCATCCTTCAACTCGTAGTTGCCAGGCCGCAAGTTTCTCAAGACTCTCCATTCGTCGTTTCCTTTCATTAATAAGAACAGCGACACCACGCATTGCTTCTAATGCTTCTTGAATTTTTTGATAATCAGCATGATCGGCTTTTGTATATTTGAGCAACTCAGCCAATTGTAATGGATATTTACATATCCTTTGAACCGGTGTGAGTAAATAGCCATCTAATGGTATTTCTATCAGTCCACGCATTAAACGGCAAGCTTCAAAAAATTGTCCATACTGATCGTATTGATAAAGTTCCTGTAATGTCGCAGTTGCCATTGGATGACTATTACAATACTCGGAATACATTCGGAATCCATTTCTCTATAAATACAAAAAATAAACAAATTATATAAAATTTCTACATTATTGTCATTTTTTTTTTTTAATAATCAAACTCACATGGCTAAGGAAACATTCACCGAGGCAACTTTTATGCGGTGAATTCCAATCAATACACGCTTCAAGATCCTTCAAGAATTCTGATTGAAAATCAAGTAATTCTTCGAGATTGATGAAAATTGTTTCAATTTGACTCTCAGTGAACATGTCAGTACGTCGACGACATTCTGCGATATAACCCTCGGCAACGTCTTTAAGTACTTTGACAAAATCACGTTCAGTTTGTACAAGTTCACGAACAACGCTCGTTCTCACTTGCTCATTCGAGAGCAAAGAAATACTCGTGCGTCTTCTTAATTGTGAATTTGATGATGCGCCTGAAGCTATTGCTGCTAAACAATCTTCCACCGTATCTTCCTGACTCACTCGAAGCTGCAAAAAAAAAAAAAAAAACACAAATAAAACTAAAAATATTTTATACATTCAAATTTATTTAGAAAAAATTTATTTATTGTAACTTACCCGCACAAAAGCAGCGGGAAACCATCCATATTTTCCACGACAACTTCCCCACCACCAATCTTTATCCATTGTATCCATCACGTCAATAACATCACCAGCACGAAAAGCAAGTTCCTCAGGTTCAATGGCAATATGATCCCAAACCGCCTCCGCCAAAATAACCATTTCGTCGTCCATTGTTTGTTCAAAGGATTTTTTTCTATCCGTTAAAGAGGCAATGGACGATTCTGAATCAGACATCATCTCATCGTCAGAAGTACCACCTTTTCCATCTTGTTCGTCCTCAGACAATACATTACCACCGGGTAATCTCGCACCTAAATTTTAAAAATAGAAAAAAACACAATCTTTTATTAATAAAAAATTCAAATTTAATTAACGAGAGAAAAAAAAAAACTTTCCACAATTTTTAGCTGCTTCCTTAGAGACAGAGAGAGAGAGAGAGAAAACTGATAAAGATTAATAATCCCTTTTTTTTCCTTTATTTAAATATGCAATAATAGGGTTAAAAAATTAAGCAAAAATTACTTGGAATTTACATTATTTTACTTTTTGGAAAACTGTAAACTCTGTATATTTACTCAACAAAAAAAAAAAAATTAAGGGGAAAATACTGTGCATAGAAAGATATTCTAAACATGCACTTATAAACAGAGATCCCATTTGATTTTAAAAAAGTTCAAAAATTGATTTTCTTCTTTATTCTTATTAATTCAATAACAAAAAAAAGAATTATAAAATCGTGGGAACTCTGATTTAATCAATTTCAGAGTCTAATAAGAGGATTTTTTTTAAATGCAAGATTTTTTACAAAAAAAAATTCAACATTTCTCAAGAGGGAATCGAGTATTTTTTCAAAGGCAATCGGAAATTTTCAAAACTACAATTTAAATAATTAAATATTATATTAATTGGCTAAAAAAAAAAAATGTAAAATTTTTCATTACCTGCAGTTTTAGTGCGCATCAATGGAGAAAGTTGATTGATACCCAATGGTTGACTGAGAGAACGTCTCAAATTTGTCCGAGAACACCTCCCTTTCGCGTTACTAGCCATATGAGAAAAATAAATTTTTTTTTATTAGAAAAAATTAGAATAATAATTATTTTTCTTTTCTTTTTTTTTGTCATCGTTAATCATTAAATTATTTTAAAAGGTTTTTTCACAAGCGTGTACAAAAGCTCTAATTAAACATTCAGCAACGTGTTACAAAAGGTTTTATTATATAAAATTTATATACATAATTAGTGTATAATGTATATATACACGACAAGAAATTACGTGTGACAAACAAACTTTATTATATATATATATATACGAGAAAATAAAAAATTTATACCCGTCTACCTACCACTATTTTCCCTCGATTTACTGGAAAGGTTCGAATAAAAGAATTTAAATTTTGACCAAAAACGAAATTCTGATGGGGATGATTAATGTTCATTTAATTAAGCAGCGATTTTATGTCTTGCTTATTATTTTCTTTTTGTCTCTTTTGATCAAAATAGTTTCTTTTTACCAATAAATAATTTTTTTAAAATCATTTTTAGTTATTAATAAAACCACTTTTAAAAAAAAATTGTTCTTTCTTTCTTAAACAAGAAAATTTCCATTATTAATAATTTAATACAATAAATATTTTATCTAAAATTTTCAATTTTTAAGAAAAGTGATTTTTTTTTTAGTAATGATATTGTGCACTAATGTATATTTAGCATTAAAGCATTTTGGCAATCAGCAGCGTTTATCAAAGAGTGATGTTTTGCTTGATTTTTTTTCAGCTTTTTGTGCGAAGCAGAATCGAGGCGATGTAAGATAAAAAAAAAATTTTTAAACCAAACAAATGTAATTTAATTACACTATACTTTTAATATTAATTTAAATTTTTCTTTCTTCGATTAGAGATTTTGTATATTTTATAATACCAGCGCCTCGATTCTAGTGACAATGCATTATTATTTTGCGTTTTGTTCTTTTTTTGCGAAAAATAGAGAGACAAATGACGATTACGCGATAAACGAAATTTAAATTGTTTCAAAAATAAAAAAATATATATATATTCACCTTCTTAGTGTAATAATATCGGAGTGCCTTGGACTCAGTCTCGGTGGTCTTGTCTTTATAGGTGATGGTGTTGACAGCATTCTTCTGTAATTATGAACATGACTATATCCAGAACGTGTGTCCCATTGAAGGAGTCTTTGTCCTCCTAAATCACTATTTGTCCGTCTTACATTGTGATGCCTCGTTGTCCTGCTCTGTAGATCCGCCTGAAATAAAATTCAAATTATTAGTTCAAAAGAAGAAAAAGAAATCTTATTATTTTAAAAATTTATCATATTTTAATTAAAAATATTTTGTGGTAGAAAATACCTTTTTTTAAATATTTTTTATTTTTTTATTCTCTTATTTGATAAAAATCAGAATTTTCATTTTACGATTATAAAATTCCTTTGTTATGGAAGCGCGTGATAATAAAAATAACAAAATGTCTTACTTTCTTTATCTATATATGACTGATAATAGAAAATTCCTGGTAAATTTTTTTTTTTATGATAATTTTTTTGTACAATCGGTGAAAAAAAATTTTTTTTCACACTTTATTAATAAAGATGTTCGCGTAGCATTTTTAAATATAGAAACAAAAGAAGTATTTTAAAAACATATATATGAAACGTATATTTATGTTATGATGAGTTCATTGGCCACCGAGGTACTCACATTTGCTTTCTACATTTTGATATCATAGTCAGGAAGAATCACACTTCCTCTTTTACGTATATCCTGAGAGATATTTTAATCTATATATATATATATTCTCAGTATATTTATATATTGAACAGTGGTTATGATTTATGTGCAAACTTAATAATATAAAGCGATGAATATCGATCAAGATTATATTGTAATAGCGAGAAATAGAAGGAGGTTCTGCTTCATTTAATATCAACTTCTGCACATGCAAAGCATTATAAACATAAAGTGCGATTATTATTTATTAAAACTATCAGATTCGTGAGCAATTGATGTCTCAACTTAAATAACAGTCGTTGATAAAGAACAGTTGATACTTTCAGTCAAGAAAATAATTTTTCAATAAATTAAAAAAATTGATATTAATTAATTAGCAGTTTAAACATGAAAATAAAACATGCATTCTATAAAATTTCTAATTTCTACGATTACATAATAATCTCATTGTATAGACAATATATTAAAAAAGCAAGTGCATATAATTATTATTATTTTTTTTTTGTTTTTGTAAAAGTAAAATAAATCTACATGAAAATTAAAAGTAATAATAAATAATAATAAGAGTTATGATAATAATGTGAAATTAAAAAATTTGTAACAGTAAAACAATTTTAGTTACATATATAATGATATAAAATTATTCCTCCGCAATATTTTTTTAAAAAATTTAATTATATTTTCTTTTACTATTGAGTTATTATTTATTTTATAATTAAAATTATATATATATATATAATGAAAAAGAAAATTATTGTGAAATTTGTTTTTATTTTATAAAGATTTTGCTCAATTTTTTAGTCGAATTTAGTCGAACACACAACACAATTTTTACCTTTAATTTGTCTAGTAGTATCTGGTTAATGAGCTCGGACTGGGGTCGTGATTTATCGGCAACTCGCCTTCTCGCGGCTGGTGGGCTGTCCGTTTCATCAGGAACATCGGTATCATGAGATTCAGAGCTGTCACCACCTCCCATTATTCCACCAACACTGCCCCCAGTCAACGCACCACCAGATACCATCTACGAGACACAACATGTGCATATTCCTTCATTTTGCTCTAATTTTTAAAAATTTTCCAATTCTTCTGAATTTTTTTACATTATATCCTAACAATAATCTTCACAATTTCCATAATTTCATAATAAAAACATAATCCTTTTTTTTGATTCGTTAAAATTTTAACAATTTCATTAAAAAAAAAAAAAAAAAAAAGAAAATACAAAATTAAATTAAAAACTTGAAATCATTCTCAAGAAGTATAGAGAGAGAGAAAGAGAGATGGGGAATATTTACGAAAAGCTGCAAAGAAACTCGAAAGCATTCCCTACGAAATAAGAGAGAATATAATCTTGTAGAAAAGCTAATTACCTCAATTTGAATTCCACTGTCGCCGCTGTTGCATTTTGCGCTTCTCGCTGCTTTGCTTCCTTTTTTTCTCTCCTTACTGCTTCTCCAAACAAGAGGTCCAAACCTATAAAAAGAGAATTTTTTTTTTAATTTCTACTCTAATTTCTTTACCGCATTTTTTCTTAAATTAAATATAAATAAATCAAAATAACAAAAAAATTCCTTTGATTTTTGTAATTACTAACCTGAACCTTTGATCATTTCCAGAATCCTCTTTATGTTGTTGTGATTGATCGGAATTTGGTGGCAAATGACGATCATCATCCTCGTCGAGATTAATAGAACCCTCGTTACATTCTGGTGGACATTCACTCTCGGTACTTTCTTTACTGCCTTTTTTATGAAATCTTAATGAGAAACTTTTACGAAATTTTTGTAAAACACTTTCTTGTTGATTTGGAACATGAGTTCGATGGGTCTGACTTCCGGTGGTGTTATTATTATTATTATTATTAATAACTACAGCAGGCGTAACATTTGCCGTTTCCTGTAGATGTGAATGAGACACCAGAGGAATTGAGGCCTCGGCTAGGGGATGTTCAGTGGTCACATGACTTCCTCGAATTTCTTCGTCATCATCATCATCATCATCATCGCCTGACCAACGTCGACTAGAAACAAAAAAAAAAAAAAAATGAGCGTCAAAATTTTTCTTATTTATATTTTTTAATATCGTCATTATTCGATTTATTTCTTACTAATAAAATATCTATTTTCGAGATTTTTCATCCATCATTTATTCTATAATTTACTAATTAATCTTGTCATTAAATTAAAAATGTGAAATCTATTTTGACATTTTTATATTCCCATTTCCATGACTTTTGTAAATTTAATTAAATTTCACATTTATGTGAAATAAAATTGAATAATTATTTAAATAGAATTTTTATTCATTCTTATTAAATATTTAAAATCTGAATAAAACAGACTTTTTTTAAAAAATGAGGTTAATTAATGTAAATTATTGAGTTTTTTTTACTCTGTTAAAAAAAAATATATATATATATATTATTTAGAGAGTTCATAACAAATTTTATCCAAATTGTGTATATTTATTAATATAGAAAAATTTATATTTTATAAGTAATAATAATTAATTTAATAATATTATTCATAATTCTTCAAAAAGAATTTTAATATATATAAATTTACACACTGTTGATTCTATAGTGAAGATAAATTCCCATCATTATTTTAGCTTTAAGCTCAAAGCGGTGTGAATTTATAAACATCACTAAATTATTACTTTAATTTATTTCTTTTTTTTCACTCAATCATCCAAAAAGACAATTATTTCAATACAAAAATTTGTTGATTTTAAATAAAGTTTTTTTTTCTCAGCTAAAATTTATTCATCATTTATTGTAATTTTCTTTTTATTACAATTTCAAGAATGAATTTCACGTTACAATTTCTCGAGATGGAATATATATATGTATACAAAATGCATTCAAAATATATGCAATCAGATTTGTATCTATTATTTTCTTATTAACATATTTTAGACTCAATGTGATAAAAGTTTATACAAATTTTAATATGAAAAAAAAATCTCAATATTTTTAAAACCTCTCATTTTGAACTCAATTCGAGGTCATAATTGTAAAATGCTAATTGATCTAACTTATTTAAATCTCTTTTTACAATGAGAATATAAGAAATAGAAATTTTCACATTTCTTTAACTTTTGATTTCAAAAGAAATTTATTTTCATAATACATAACTAATACAGAAATTTTTAAATAATATTTACTATAATAACATAAAAAAAAATAAAACATTAAATTAGAAAAAAACAAAATTTAAATTTAAAAAACAAAATAAAAAATTTAATTAAATTAAAAAATAAAAGAGAAATAAATATAATCAACGCTTAGTGTTCAAATTGAAATATAAATCAAAATTATACATATTATTATAGTAATAATTATTATCATTTTCTATATGTCAAATTATTTTTCTCAAGTGAAAGTTTCAAAAATTCAAGTCAATTATTACCAAATTTATTGTAATAAAATTCATAAACTTTTACAATAATTCGAAATCGACTGTTAAATAGGCATTTAAAAAGCCAAAACTACTATCGATTGTAATTATAAATCATAAATTTCAAAAAATATACATATATAATAAATAAAATCTATAACCGAAAAAAATTACCTCTCCCCATTGATGAAGATATCCATAAATCTTCAAATAAAATAATCCCAAAGAGACAATCATTCACTACTTTTAACTATTAACACCTGTAGCCTTTTTAAATTTTATATCACAAAATCAACAACAAAAATTTAACACTCAATTTCCTCAGAGGTTTCAACTATTCCATATATGTAACCCCTGAGGCCTTTTCTTCTCAACTATTCACACATTCTTTTTAACTCATCACAACACACACAAAAATTTTACTCCAAAATCTTCAATGACAGCACACCACATGTGAAAGGACAAAAAAGAAAAAAATTTCTTCTCAATCTTTTTGAAATTAATTTCCTTTAAATTATATTATCCTTTTTGTAAAATCACAATTGATTCATTGTCAATTAAATTTTGATTTGAAGAAACAAAAAAAAAAAAAAAAAAAACACATTGGAGCACAACTTCAGATTAAACAGTCTTTAAATTATAAAACGTGAAGTGCATAGCACAGAAGACCGCGTGCAACTGAAAGACTGAAACTGACTGGAAACGAATGTTGGTAGGGCTCTTCTTCTTCCGAGAACAGATTTCAAGCTTCAAGGGTCGCTTCAGGTATAAACCGCTGAGGGTTGCAGGTCCATGTGCTACACATATATATATACAGGACCGTAATTAAAAACGAACCACCCTCAACATCTGCCCTAAATTTTATATATGACACGATCCCGTTTGGGGGAACTCTTTGAAAAATCCTAAACTGAGTCATTTTTAAAATTTTAAAGCCACTAAAATATTTTAGAATCTAAATTATTGTTATTGCTGTCATTGTTAAAATTTGAATTCAGATTTTTTTTTTCTAATTTCCGTTAACAAATACATTTATGAATAATAATAATAACAAAAATAATTAATAATTATTTAATTTTAATATCTTTTTTACGTTAATGGGAATTTTTTTTACAGTCGCCTTTTAAAAATAGTTAAAAATAATTTATTCAATAAATAAAGTATAAATTTTTATAATTTAAATATTTTTTTTTTGGAACTGAAATATAATTTGCAAATTAAAAAAAAATAGCAAGAGTCATAATTTTATATCAAATTTTAGAAAAAATAAAGCAAAACAGCTTTTTAATTATTAAAAAAAAAAAAAAAAAAATCTGATATTTTTCGCTATTGAACAAAAATGATGTTAAATTTTTTTCTCAATAATAATTTTTCTTGAAAATAATAAATACGTTACTGAGAATTGACCCTCTCTAGTTGTTCATCAAGACCCAGCTCCATATTATACATTTTATTTTGGACAAAGTGGGAGGAAACAGCCGGCGAAGAAAACGTTGAAACGAATATAGAAGGCGGCTGTCTCAAAGGTGTTCCTGTCCCTCTTTTTTAACCCCCCCCCCTTTTTTTTCCCCTCCCAGTATTATAGGGGCTAACCGCGATTATTTTTTTTTATTTCCTTCAACATATATTTTTCAATCATATTATAATAGACTCGCCTCCTTCGCTTTGATACGATGATTGTCTGCCTAGAAGCAAAATAAAAATCAATTTTTGATATCAAAAAATGTCAAAAAAAAAAACAAAAAAACTGACATATTAAAATAAATATTATAATTTACTAATTACTAATAATTATATCAATACGGAAGTGATGAATTTAATTCCACGATAACATTTTTTAAAAAAAATTACCATGATATTTAATTTATTATTTTAGAAAAAGAGATTTTTTTTTCTATTTAATTCACATTTATTATTTACCTCTAAGAAAAATGAATCAATAAAATTGATTTTTATTAAAAAAAAAATCATCGATCAGGTTGTAAAATAATTAACATGAATTCTTGAATAATAGCAATTAAATGAAAATAACAAAAATTGAAGGTAAAATTTTATTAGAGCAATAAAGTCAATGGCAACAAAAGTGTTCTAGAGTCAATGTGCTATCAATGAAAAAGAAAAAAAAAAAAATTAGAACGTGTTTTAGAATGTCATTCAAAATGCGGTTCTGGAGATTAAGTTTAAATCCTCCAACAAATATAAAGATTGGATCTCAATATATTGGACTCAAGAAAAAAAAAAAAACCCCAAATTAATTTGTTTATTTTTTTTATACGTGTAGATAATTAAGAGAATTTTACTTTTTTACTTATTATTGATATTTTACATAAATTAAGTCACAGTAGAAAAAAAATTTAAGGTGCAAAATTTCGCTCATTCAAATCAAATATTGAATAACTTTTCACACACACGGTGACAGGTACGAGGGGGGAGTGAAAAAGAAAAAAAAGACGAGCGAGAAATTCAACGAAGTTGTAAATAAAACGTTTTCGGCTCGTTTGAACCAGAGCTAGTGGACAGGTATGACAACAAATTTACCCAGAAAAAAAAGAAGAAAATATTACAGAGACCACCCGTTCGTGTCGGTATATAGCCTCAAAAAAAAAAAAAAAAAACGAAGACATGAAGATGAGAAGAAAGATCTATTTAGATTGTCGAAAAATAGATGGATTTTTGACCACCGAAGACTTTTTTGACCCCCCTGCGAGAAACACTACTTGATGTCCAAAAGATCAATTGAGCCGTCGCCACCAAAGTTGTGTTCGTAAAAAAAAGCACATTTTTCACATTATTAAGAAATCTATATATATATTATAGATCTCAATATTTTCCAATTAAACTTTATAATGTTAAAAAATTTAAAAAAAAGAAATTTTTTATATTTTACATTTAGAGAATTTAAATTTTATTTTCGTAAAATTAATTTAATTGATGCCAAGGAAATCGAGTTCTTTTATTTTTGCGAGTAATTAGAAAAAAATTGTTTTATTATATAAAAGATAGTAAAATTACTAATAGAATTCAATATTTGGAAAGAGATTTTAAATTGAATTGTAAAAAAGTAATAATGAAAAAATTTCTCATATAATTTAATTTATGAATTAATATTCTTATTTTCCCAAAAAAAAAGGGTGACATCAAAAAAGTCAGGTTGCATGACCTCTGAGAAGTGAATAAAAAGCTGAAAAAAAAGAGGTCAGACATGCTTGACTTATTCTTTTCTAAAGCTTGGATCGTATCACACATCACAAATGTTAATTAAATACACAAACAATAATATTCTAAGAATAAATAAAATTAATTAATCTAATCAAAAAGCTTATAAATTTTAAAGTTAAACAAAAATAAAATTAAAAAATTAATAATAGATAAATAATAAATAAATAAATTAAATAATAAATCCCTATAATAAATAAATTAAAACACAAAAATGATAAATTAAACCAAAAATAATATTGATAAATAGTGTACAATTAATTACAGCATCTAAAGAAATACTAATCATCTCTAAACGAGGGTGAAATTCCTAAACATATAGTTATCCCTGCCATTAAATTTTAAGCTTCACGCTTAAAAAAAAAAATAAATTTTGTGAAGATGAGCCTTCGAAATCGACCTTGAGGCATCATCAGAGATGATTTATTTTTTTTTTCGTCCACAATTTCATCCCATATCACGCAGGAGTGGCTCAAGAAAGCACAGGATCAATCGTATTGTTATCTTAAGATTTCAATTTAAGGCCCTCCAAAGATTTCTCAATCAATAGATTGTAGATAAAAAAAAAAAAATATTCGATTTCAAGAATTCCATTAGTAACAACTAATATTTTACCTAAAAATTTATTTCTATAAATTAAATTATTTTCTTATAATTTATAATAAAAAATAAATTCAAATTTTCGTTTTTATTCATTTCATATAAAAAAATTCTAAATATTTTGTTCTTGAAAAAAAAAAAAATGATTTCAATTCTTTTTGAAATGATTTGCAATTGAAATTTTTTGCTTTGCTTTTTGAAAGATATGAGATCTAAGAAAATTGAGATATTTACTAAAAGTGCATAGTCATTAAATATTTTATGAATGAAAATCCTCTTACCCGTCATCATCCCGATCAAGAAGAGCTGGGGTACTAGAGGCTTTAACACGTCGTTGATTTTTACCAAAGGCCCGTCTACGATCCTTGCCATAGGCAGTCACGTGCGGTTCATGTTGAGGCTACAAAAAAAAGAACAACAATTAATTACACTATAATTAAAGAATGGGACAAATTTTTTTTTCCAAAAATAATTTTTTTTAGAAAAAAAAACAATTAGCAAATAAAAACTTAAACAAAATATTAACAATATTTAATCGATTAATTTATTCGGAAAAAAAAATTTTTCTCGAGATTTCAACTTAGGGTCAAGAGTTTTTTTTTTAAAACATCAAAAGTAAACTTTCATTGTCTTGACTTCGAGTAAAAAAGAACTTGCTTATAAGAGATACAGAGACGCCCTTTTAATTGCTACTATTTTAAGAAGAACACTTGAAACTTTCTTTTAAAAAAAATTTTCTTCTTTTGAACTCTCTTTTCAAGAATAATTCTATTTTAAGGGGCAAAAAAAAAATAAATAAATTTCTTAAGAAATTTCAATAAATTATACAATTTAGCAAAAATATTTCTAAAAATCGAAAAAAATTATTCAAAAATGAAAAATCAGAAGAGAAGTTCATTTTTTTTTTAAATAAAGAAGGAAAAAAATAATTTCTTTTTAAATAGAGAAAAAGAATAAATTTTGATGCTTTTCAAAAAAAAAAAAAAAAAAAATACTGTAAAGAAATCAATAAACAGTGATTAGAATTTTAGAATAAAATTTTGATGATTTGCGCTTCAAGAGAGAAAGAGAGATAATGGATCAGAACACATTTGTGAAGCTAAAAGCATTTCCTTGTTTAATTTTCATGTTGTGGGAGCATCACTTTGACGTTTTAATACTTAATTTAACGATATAACATTTGAAATATATCTAAAATTATATCTATTGATTTGAAATCTTCAATTTCTCTATACATATAGGTCGTTATACTCAATTTCTAAAAATGAACTCAGAACAATCGACCTGTGACCTCCGCGTGTTTCTATTTTCATTGCATCAGCTTGTCATTTAGAATATTCAAAGATTCGCAACTATATAGAATTTTCTAAATATATAAATAAAATTTTATCCATACACACAGTTATATTAATTTACTGAAGGAAAATTAGAATTAAGAAAAATTTTCGTACAATTTTTGTCATTTAGTCGAAATTAAAAAAATTAATCAACAATTTCTAATGACAAAAATTTCTTTGATTTAATTTAATCAAATAATAATTATTTAATAAAAATAAATTTTTTTTCACCATATTTTTTAAAGAATTAAAATTTTTCATTTTCTTTATTATATATTAAGAATCTCAAAAGCTATATAAGATTTCTATATAGAGAAGGGAGAAAATAGAGATTTATTCGACGAAAGCAGCTGCGAGTCTGATATTCAATTGAGATTATTAATTACATATTTCCAATAATGAAAAAATTCTCAATTTCAAATTTATTATTTTAATTTTCAGTGAAAATTTAGATAATATGTAAATTATACAACTTAATTTTTCTGAATTGAAAACAATATAATATTCTTTCTAAGTTTTCTTCGTTAATTAAAAATAAAATAAGACACATAAAGAAAAAAATTTAATTTTTTGTCTCAGAAAATTTTTTTCTATTCCTCTTGTGTGTAAATAAATGTATAATAAATTTTTATGAACACAGAATTTAAATTGAATATCCAACTTGTAAAAAATATTCCATTTTTCTCTTATAAAAATTTTTTGTGTTCAAAAAAAAAAAAAAAAAAAAAAATCTTTCCACATGAGAGAAAAACCATCGTTTTCAATATTAAAAAAGTATTTACTTGCCCAAAGTTATTTAAATTTCAAAATTAAATAATTACCTGGCTACATATAAAAGTGGAAGAGGTATAAAACTAAATTAATTTTTTTTCGAAATGTAAATATAATAAATAAAGAGAAAATTTTTTTTTTTAATTTTGAAATATTTAAAAAAAAAGTATTTTTCCAAAAAAATTGAAATTTCTCTCTAAAAGTGATGAGAGAAAAAAAAAAAAAAAAATAGTGAATACTTACAGAAACAGGTGCAGTGTGTGGTACAGTAACATCCAAATCTCGATAACGTCGTGGACTGGGAGTGGAACGCTGCGATTCTTGTCCCCGACGCCAAGATGTTGTTCCAACATTACTAAAAAAAAAGAAAAAAAATTGTAAATTCTAAATATTTTTAAAATACAAAAGAAAATTTTTCTCTCAATATTTTTTTAAGAGATTTTATATCTTGCAGATTAAAATATTTTCTTTTGTAAATATATATAGAAATAATTAATTTAAACAGAATTAATTTTTTTTCCTTTTCTTTTTAAAAGATCCCGCATTTAAAATGTTATTCCAAAAAAATTTTTTTTATTATATATATATATATATATATATATAAAACCCCTATAAGCCAATTACTAATTAAATCAAATTGACATTTATTTCTGTGTGGGTATAACTAAAATACACATAGAAATATGTCATCCTTCAACTAATATTTATTTTTATAATATACAGGAAATGAATCGATTTGTTCAACTTTTCAAAGTTTTTCTTTTCTTCCACGCTAAATAGAGACAAATATATTTTTTTTTTTTCTTAATTAAAATTCTTTAACTATAATAAAAAAATAAATCGAAAAAAATTAAATTTTTTTCATTCAAATAAATTGAAAAAATTCTTATTAAAAAAAAATTTTTTTTTTTGATAAAAAGGCAATTTTTATGGGAAAAAAAAATTTTTTTTTTAGAAAAATATTTCAATTTAATGGAAAACGAGCGACAATCACGATTACATGGTTTTATAATAAATTACATTGGCTCGTGTTTCTAAAGTACGGTAATAGACTTAGTTTGAAGTATAACGATGTTAACCCATTGACAACGAGCTTTTGTTGGCGAACATATATAAAGGTAATTTGAGGGTTTGCTTATATAGATTATCGATAATGACGGGGGGGTATCAATAAATTTCTATATTAAAAAAAAAAAAAAAATAATAATTCTTCACCTATATATGGGATATATATTAAAAACAAAATAGCATTTTTTTTACATTTTTTAATTTACCTCAAAAAAATTATATTATTAATTTTAATAATAACTATACATATTCAGAGAAATGTTTTATTTCAACCAAATATATAATATATATTTGAGTAAAATAAACGTATATATTTGCCTCACATAGTCTACTAGTCTATATTTATTTGGCGTAATTAAAATTTTTTTTTTATTTAATGCAAATAAAAATTTATTTGAATCAAATAAATATTTATTAGTGAGACAAATATAATATCATTTCTCTGTTTGTAACTAAATTATTGTCATTTTAAATTAGGTCAATAAAATATTAAATATTGTTCATTAAAAAAAAAAAAAAAAAAGCGCGCTTATTTTTTAACTAATGTTTATACTCAGAGAAATGGTATATTTGTCTCCGAGCCTATTAACTCATTTATTTGTTGTAAATATATTTTATTTCATTGAAATAAAAAATTTATTTGAGCCAAAGAAAAATTTATTTCTGATAAATAAAATTTTTATTTACGCCAAATAAATAAGTTAATAGACTCTAAGACAAATATACGTTTATTTAATTCAAATATATTTTATTTGGTTCAAATAAATCATTTCTTTGGGTGTAAAATTGAAATTTGAAAATCAAAAAAAGAAATATTAGTAATTTATTACATATTAAGTATTTATTAAACTAAAATGAATTTTCTGTTTTAAATGACAATACTTCATTTTTCTTGACATTGCACTTTATATATATAGAAATTAAAAAAATGGTTGAACCTTTAAGGTTCTCCTCGTGACCAATATATAAATACAAGTGTCAGAAAATGTCAGAATTTGTCAGAATTAGAAATGGAGGGCAAAGTTAATATTTCTTAAAGACCTTTCACACGATTCCTCGTGTTGTGTATTGCTCATATATACAAAGTGTCAAATATTTAATTCAATCATCTGAATATTAAAAGACAAGTATTGACTTGAAAAAAAAAAACTAATCACGATGTATATATACTTTAAAGTCACGTATAAATTATATATATTCACCGCATACCATTGCAGAATATAATACTGATTATATTTTATATATGACTATCAATTTTCAAGATACTCATTCAGCTTTCAATGTATATACATATAACAATGTTCTAAAAATAGATATAGAAATTATAAAAGATTAAATAAAATTATAAATTATTAATATAAAAAAAAAAATTTTTTTTTAAATTTAAAGTTGAATTATTAATATACCCTGAGAAAAAATTTAAATAATAAATTTTTTCAATTTATTTATTTTACTGCTCTCAGAGAAATAGTATATATTTGTCTCAGAGCCTACTAACTCATTTATATTTTTGTTGCAAATATATATTTTATTTCATTTGAATAAAAAATTTTTAAAGAAAAATTTATTTATGAAAAATAAAATTTTTATTTACACCAAATAAATGAGCTCTGAAACAAATATACATTTATTTAATTCAAAAAAATTTATTTTATTTAATTCAAATAAATCATATTTCTCTGGGTATGATGAAATATTTAATTTTTTCTAATTAAATTTTTTTTCCTTAGTTAAAATTTCACTAATTTATTATAATAAAATTTTTATTTAGAGTGTATTTTTATTTTTTATGCATTCAATTTAAAATAACAAAAACTAATTAAAAAAAAAAAAAAAACATTAGAGATAGTATGTCTTAATGAACTTTATTAAAAGTCGCAAGATATTCGCAATATATGCGCGGTATTCCCGTGTGCAAACTTTGAGAGCTAATAAATTTCAGTTTCTATACTTATACAAATTATGTATACATATATATATATATATATATAAAGAGAGTTTTGCCGGAAACTGGCACAAGATTTTGGCGCGGATGTGACTCCAATATAAATGTTGATATTATATATAATAAATATAATTCGAAACTGGTTGGAAATTATGCCGTGAATCGCGAAGTAAATATTAGTTTATACCTTTTGTGGCAGAAATTAAAAAATGGAGAAAATTTCTAAAAATAAAAAAAAATGAAATTATATATTATATATTTACTATGCAATATTATTATAATATATATTATAATTATTATAATTAATATAATTTTAATTATTAGCATAATATTATTTACTATGGATATATATTTTTACTATGGAAAATTCCAGAGAAAATAAAATCTAATATAAAATCGATAATAATTTCTCAAACTATTTCTTTGGAAAAAATTTTACAAGAAAAAAAGAACAAGTTATTTTAGGAATAAGAAAAATTTTTCCCCATCAAGTTTCAGTCACATATTATATATATATATATATATATATATATAAATAAATTGCTCCAATAAAGAAATAAAATCTGAAGAAATGAGCCCTTTTTTGCTATTTCCATGAATGAGATTTATGATATGTGGTAAACCGGTCAGAAGAGCCATTTGGAAATTATGCTCTTGTTGAGCGACAAATATGGACAACAATTTGTTTGTTTGTTTGTTTGTTTTTTTTTTAACAATGTAATAGTTGTTATTCATCGGAGGCGGTGAACGTGACATGCCTTGTAAACGAGTCATACACTCGCTATATCGATAGAATCTACAAAACGAAGTCTTCTTCTTTTTTTTTGTTTTTTTTTTTGTTTTATTCACAATTTTCTGATCGAAGCTACGTGACAGTCTTTGAGATAAAGAGATGTTCACTATATTATAATAAATATCGTGAGAAACTTGTAAAGCAAAACAAGATTTATTATAAAAATTCCTTTGGCTCAATTATTATTATATATATAATAAAAGAAATAAATATTCTCAGTTTGAGATTATATTTCGCATTGAATTTTTTTTGTTACCAAATAACCAAAAGAAAATTATATTCTAAAAAATAATAATTTTTAAATTAAATTTTCTTTAAATTAAAATATATAAATTTATTTCGAAAAAAATTATTCTTATTGTAAGAATATTTTTATTATTATTATTATAAATATTATTATTATTATTATTATTATTATTATTATTATTGTTATTATTATGTTAATAATATTGTTATTATTTATTATTGGTACTTTAAGAATATATTATATTTTGTAAGAATAAAATGCATTATTTTCAAAACTTAGAATATTTTTCTTTTGGTATAAAAATTAATTTCTCTAACTTTAGAGTAAATAATAAAAAAACTTTTATCTTCCTTAAGAAATTTTTTTAAATTTTTAAACGACAGAAACAGGTGTAACAATTGCGCAACAAAAAAAAAACAACACTGGGGATTCCCAATGCTGTCGCCGAGCTACTATAAAAGAGCGGGAAAATTTGAAAAAATTTAATTTACAAATTACAAAACAAATGGTATAATTATTATACTATGATATATGTTATAGAATATAATTATTACCTGATTACAATAGAATTGTAATATAAAAATTATTATAATTATTGTAATTATTATTATAATAAAAAAAAAAATAATAATTATGGTATAAAATTATTAATTAAAAAAAAAGAAAAAAAAATCAAGAATTCTATATCTTTTATCATTGGGGTTTAAAACAATTTTTTTTTTCACCCGAGATTTTGGAGAAGAAAAATAAGAAAAATGCTGATTTCTATCACACTCGGTTGAAAGTATGGAAAAATTCCAAAAAGGTCTCGAATGAAATAAATCACGAGTATATTTTTTATGATGCATAATTTCAGGGTAGAAATGAAAAAAAAAACATTTATCTTAATTTATCAAGAAATATATGTAAAACAAAAAAAGTGTATATTAGAAATTGGTAATGTAAGAGATAAGAGTAAAAAAAATTTTTTTTTTCACAAAGATATTACAGATGCCTTTTATGAAGCTAAATATAAAAAAAAGTATGTACCATAGTCGGAGAATCTCGTTAAAAAGTCAAAAACATTAATTTCGATAAATGACGGTGATAAAAGTTGTAAAGTTGAAATAATAGTGGTAATAAAAAATGTGGTCTTTTACGGTTCGAGTGTAAGGGATTTTCTTCCCTTCCCCTTCTCATTGAAGCAGATGTGGATTATCGCGCAAGGCCGCGGTTTTTCTCATAAAATAAAAAAGAAAATTCGATTATTTACTGGTAAAAAAAAAGATGTTTTTTTTTTCGTGCATAATTCTTCGCATTTAA